AAAAGATTGCTTCGAGATTCATGTCGGATGTTGGAACTTTGTTGATGGTGTATAAAGACTTATAATAATGAATTTATCCTCTTGTATTTTTGGGAAAAAAAATTAACATATACCTATTATTTATTAATTTTAAAATTTGTCAATCAATGACAATTAATATTTAATAATTAATATTAAAACAATAAATAGAATTAAATGAATATAACATAAAAAGAAGGTTTGGGTTAGGTGCTTGATTCGAAGGATGAGGATGAGTCGAAACATTGGATTGCTTTATTTGTGGCTTGATTAGAGGGTAGGTTGAAACAGGTTATTAGGCTAATGGGTTAGACCTGGTTAGTTAGGGTTGTTAATTATTCTATCTTGAGTTGATTCAATATTGACTCTCAACGTTTAGTTGGCTCAAATTCAATTTTTGTACTGTTATGAAGTCATTTTTTTATTCTCAAGTATCAAATATATTGCTATGACAATTATGTTGCAAACAACATCAAAAAGTCAAAATGATCATCTATCCAGAAACAACTGCAAAATAGTTATTTTCCAACAGTACAAACCTGTTAAGAAATTATGGCTAAGAAAATAGGAATCGACATAAATCCTGAAGAACACACAGAGATTTACAAGGTTCGGCAAAGATGCTTACATCCTCGGGTGCAAAGCAGCGACTTTCTTTTCAATATTCAGAAAAGAGTACATAATACAGAATATGAGATCTAACCTAGAGTTACAAACTTGACATATATATAACCTTATAGTACAATATGTAATTACTTAAATTACCCCTGTACCAAACGCCGAGGTGTTGCCCCCGCACCCCCATAATGAAACTCCCTCGATTAGACATATCCTTCAGCTCCACTCTGCTTGTGTGCTCCGTTTCGCTTCAACATCTGTCCCAATTTATGGTATATGAGTCATATCTAACAAATCTCTGCCTTGGAATATCCAACCCCTTAGGAGAAATATTTCAAGGAGTTTGTTATGCACTAATGTGGGTTGGGTCATTATGTCGTCTAACAATTGCAAATGTTCAACAAGTTCAAGCGATGCAAGGGCTTGTTGATAATACCTGGCTTGGTCAACATATCTGTTGCATTTTCATCGTATGATCCAACATAGTGAACTTCATCTACAACTGTACTCCCCAATAATTTCTAGATATTACCTATAGTTAAATTTCCTCATTGTTGCAATTCTTCCCAATCTTCATCCTTCATGGCATCTGGTTTCGCTGCCCGCAAAGCTTTCAAGATTCATTATTGAGCCAATAAATGTTTCACCTTGTTTGCCACAATCCAAAATTACTAATTTCATTAAACTTCACCACCTCGAATTTTGTACCAGAATTTGCCATCTAAAATTGATCTTGCAACGAACTCCTCTGCAAATTCCTCTGCTGAATTTTGAAAATTGCTTCAGCCATAAAATCTTATTTCCTTTCTTCAAGCTCTAGAAAAGCTCTATAGCTCAAGAAAAACAAATCTGTGGAGGAATATTCTTCGAAGGAAATCCACCACAATTCCTCCCCTCTGCAGCTCCGGCAGCACAGTAAGAAATGAAAGATTCCCTTCCCAATTCTTCACCTCACCAGCAAAAGAAAAAAAAGTTCCTTAGCAGCTGCCTGTTCTGCCCAATCCTTTGCAAACTCCCCTGCAAAAGAAGCCCGCGCGACTGCCAATCTTCTTCTCTGAACCCCTGACTGAGCACCTCTGCCAAATCGCGGAAGTCCTAGCCGCAAAAACTCTTTGGCCAAAATCTTCTTTTTTCCTGGGCCATCAAAATTTTTCTTCTATGCCCTGTAATCTCTCTCTGATGCCACTTGTTGAGAAATTAGGGATAATAAAAATAGGAATCAACACAAATCCAGAAGAACACACAGAGATTTACGAGGTTTGACAGAGATGCCTACGTCCTCGGGAGCAAAGCGGCGACTTCATTTTCAATATTCAGAAAAGAGTACAAAATATAAAATATGGGATCTAACTTACGGTTACAAACATGACATATATATAACCATATAGTGCAATATGTAATTACTTAAATTACTCATGTACCAAACCGCGGGGTGTTGCCCCGCACCCCAACCCACATAATGAAACTCCCCCGATTGGACATATCTTTCTGCTCCACTCCGCTCATGGGCTCTGCCCCGCTCTAGCATCTGTCTCATTTATGACATATGAGTCATACCTAACAAAATCAAACAACCAACATCTTATCCGGATCAGCTGCTGCTCAGCAGCTTATCTGGATCAGCTGCTTATCAACAACTTATTAATAAACTACAGCTGCCCCAAACAAATCATTGGTCTTAAACCAAGTTGAACTATGTTTGATTATGGGTCAGGTTGTTCAAACATCAATTATAGCCAAGCTTATATCTTGTTTATATCAATTTTAGTTTGATTAGAAAGACAAGTGACAATGTGATACTAATTAGTTATTCATCTTCAAAGATAAATTTTTAGTCTAACACACACACGCTTTATTAGTGTATTATTTGTATATCATCGATTTTCGAGTTTGAATCCTTCAATAAATCAATCCATAACCCACCCTAAATTCATTTCAATCAAACTCTCTTATGCATGGCTAGTGACCTTTTTTTAATGCATTCCTATCATTTTTATGCCCTCACTCAATTGGTCGTGATAACTCTCTCTTTCGCCTTCTAACTCCTCAATTGAAGCCACATGAGAGGAAATTGAGCAAAATAGTAAAGCTAACTAGAACTCTTTTATTTGTATTTTAAATTACTTCACCAAACAAGAGATCATGACATTTATATCAGGCATAGGTTTTGGAACATAATGTATTATTGTTTTGATTTTTTATTGTTCTATATAATTTTTATTCAACTTAATACATGTGATTTATTCATTAATACAATTTACTTTATGAAGCCCTCTGAATGTTACATGATAGTCACAATATTGTGTTGGTTGTTCTGTGTATTTTGCCCATTTAGAAGATCAATAAATTAAGCCTTTTCCAAAATATACTTTATTTTAGATCTCTAATAATATGTAAATCATCATTCATATCAATACATATCAAAATTATATTCTATAAACTCAGCTCTTATCAAACAACAAATACTTAATTAAATAAAACCTTATATGTTATGATTTCCTAATTCCATTATTTAATAACTATTATTCCTCATAAATTCAGTATGATCAATAACTATTATACAATATAAAATCACCACATGAGTCAATCACCATTGAATAATGTTAAATAATACATTTTTGTAATAATTTTCAATTAATTAAAAAATGATTCTCCAATATAAATATACTTTGTAACATGTATAGCAACATGCAATCATTTATCCTTTATTATAATTTGACAAATGATTACAATTTATGATATATAATATACTACTTAAAGAGGATGATAGCCTCTCATAACATCTTTCTAATTTTGGTACTATGTATGAATTATATGAACTACTTCAATGTCCAAGCAATTCTAGTGTTATTTTGTTAAACAAAAAAAAAATCATTTTATCACTATAACAAACATTCATAAATAGCCGACACGAATTTCGAAGAGTTCTAGACCCTAATATCAAGTGTGCCCACAATTAAGCTGATCGAGAAATCTACTAATAATATTAAGAGAATACAACATCATGTCTTAGCCATCCCACCACGATCTAAAGTCTACGAAGTCCTACCGAGTCCAGTTGCTCGTGTCACAGAGCAGTAATGTTTGATATTTAAATTAAATTTATAATATCTTGGACCGATGTATGAAAACTTGCATCTCACTTTTAAAAAGATTTAATTGTATTATTTTTTATATGATGTTAAAAGATTTAAGTGGTATGCACCTAAAAATAAATATGTTGGCACTAGATATATAAAATACATAAAGAACTATGTGTTTTGCATGTATATGCCCCAAATATTAAATTCTAGCATACACATTCAATGAATTAATTTCTTCACCAAAACATCTATATATTCTCTCACACACAATCGAAACGGTTTGTGGCTCGTTATATACTATTTTGAGTCAGCTCAACTCAAAATTAAATGGAGCTCAATTCAACTCAAAATCAAAACAAGCCGGCTCTAATTTGAGTTATTTGAATCCTCTCCAGCTCGAAATCGAATTATTTGGTTTCATTTGAGCTTGAAATCAGCTCGTAGCTCGTTATATTTAATTTTCTTCAATATTATATATAATTTTTTATAAATAAAAAATAATTAAAGTCGAGACTAATATTGATCCAAATAAATTCGATACAAAATTTAGATCATAAATCAACTAAACTTTAGAGTAATCAACAATTGGGGAGCAAAATTCACATCCCTGTACGTAATTGTCTATTATACCCCCGTGGGATCATCCTATGTATATCACAACCCGTCACGCCTTTGTTGCGTGCGGCGGTGGCCATAGAAATCCCATAGACCAAGCTGTCTGGCCCAAACAGCATACACCATTTCCCCTCTCATAGCACTCCACGTGTCCATCTCTTCTGCAGCAAACATTTAGGCAAATGGCTCAAATCTCCGTTTCTTCGGCGTCAAACGAAGACAAAGAAAGTAAAACTGTGGGAAGAAAATTAAAATAATAATAATAATTAAAAAAAAAAAACATTTTTTTTCTCTCACGATAACGGAGCCGAGCAGCAAAGAACCGCCGCCGCGTGGATCGACGGCGGCGTAAAAAACTTAACGTCTTCATCAAACGGAGAGAAACCGTGACGTTAAGTAAACGGTGTTACTGTCTTTCTCCAGCTATTCCAGATGGAAAGTTTTGATTAGTCCAAATGGACGCCATGTCAGCGGAAATAGAGGGAAGGAGCCAATTGGAAAGAGGGAGCAGGAACGGCAACATGGGAGCAGGAAAGAGATCGCGGGAATGGTGTATCGGTGTACTGCATTTCTTCGGCCTTATACAGCGCCGTTATCCACAAACACCGGCCCACCTTACTCTACCGGGTTGAGAATTTCGAGTTTACCCTTTATATCTAAAGAGATATTAATAAATCCCAACGCTCCCATCTTCGGCTTCCTTCTTCTTCATCTCTGACGTGCTTTCTTTATCCATCTCTATCACTGAAGGGGGAGATCTCTACCGTTTCTGCTGGTTTTTGTTAACGCGGGGAAGAGGGTGGGGGCCGATCCGGCGTGAGGATCGCCGGGAAAGGGTGGAGGTTCCTGAGAGGATCAGGGGAGGGAGTAAATTAAGGGGGGGAGGGTGAAAATTGCTTTGAAAATAAGGAACAGGGGATTTGGATTTGGTTGCTTGCAATGCAGGGGAAAACGGGGAATCGGGGTGTCATTAGCTTCCGCACGGCACGGATTGTGGGGGGATCACTTCGCAGAAACCCTTCCGCGTTCTTCGCCTCCTCCTCCGGCTCATCGTTGCCTTACGCTATAATCAATTCTTGCGCATATGAAGGTCTTTAAATACGAAAGTAGTTTCGGTGGTTTAGTGCTGTGTGGATCCGGGTCACTGGCTGGCTTTGCGTTGTGTAGTTGTTGCTGGCTTGGTGGATTGGTTTTGACTGGAAGCCGGAGTGTTGGGGATTGGTCCGAGGTAATGTTTCTTTGTTTTTTTTTTCTTCGGTTTTCTGGAATTTTTGGAAATTCAGTTGACCGGAGTCGATTTTTATGGTTTGTAGCTCTGGATTTAGGTTGGTGCTCTTCTTCTTTTTGGTGGAGTGGGTTTTTTGTCTGATTTTCTGAACGATCTTACTGACTCTCGAGTTGGAGTTGCTTGTTTCTGCTTAACGTTGCTTAAAAAAAAAAATGCCCGTCTGAGCTAATGATTTTTTCGAATATTTATTATTATTATTATATTTTTTTTTGCGGCGATCTATCTGTCTGAATTGCAGGGATCCGACGTGTTTTTCGTAGTGGTTGCTTCAATTAGGAGATGTAGCAGCCGATGAGGGTTCTGTTTAGAATTTAGAGTTTTTCTTTGGTTTTTGCTTTTTGGGGCTTGGAGCTGCATGATGCCTTCACATATGATGGATCAGAGGCATCTGCCGTCATTCTTCATACCGTCGGCCCCGTCATCTTTATTTTCAGAAGAAAGCTGCCTTTCTTCGGAGGTGAGGACTTTAGATGCGGTTGTTTTGTTTTGGATTCAATAAACATCTTAGTGAATTTTTTGTTTATTTCAGAGCATTGATCAGAATTTATTAGAAAAATGAATCTCAAGCCTGCAGATCATTTGTTTTATGCTGCTGCCATTATTTGCTCTTCCCCATCCCCATCATAATCATTCTGTTGTAATTTTTTTTTTCTTTTTCGATCATGTATCTTAGAATTTTAACCTTGCCCTAAATTTATTTCTAATCTTATTTATTTTCCAGAGGCAGCTTGGTTTCCGGAAGCCCGAGTCTGTGCCAGAAAACTCTGGTGAGTTTCACGTGACTTGATGACTCAAAACAGATATGCACCTTTTTTGTGAAGTTGGTTATATTATCTTTGCTTCTACTGATCTATATCTTAAGCAAATTAGATTTTAGTGCTCTAATTATTGTAATATTGGGTGCAATTTTGAAATTTTACTATATGCTCATAAAAATACTCTGAATTGGTCTAGATAAGGTTTATGGGATATCAGAGAAAACTCAGCAGCAAGCTTTTTCTTTCATCTCCATGGCAACAATATTATGGCTGATATCGTGTCTTTTCAATTCTTCATGTTGATCTAATTTACAATATCTCGGTAAAACTTTGGGCTGGTCCGGCATATGTATTTTTTTTCTTAAAGCGGGGCATTGGGGTCGGAGATCGTTGCATATATTTCTAATGTTTTGTACAGCTCTTCATATTTGATGAAGCATTATTGCGTTAGTAATTTTTCATTTTACTGATCTAGTGGTTTGTTGAAATCAATACATGGGACAGGTTTATGATTCAAAGTTTGCAACAACTCATATATGATATAAACTAGGGCGTTTTTTTTTTTTTAATGAATAATGAATGCTTTGCCACTTGTTTTCCTTTTATTTTCACTACAGAAACCCCATGCAGTTCACATAAACTTCTGAAATCCATCAGAAAGAGCGAAATGTGTATAATAGTAGATGAGCAGACTTCTAATTCTATATTTGCTTATTGTAGTCGGTTAAATGAAAAAGAAAATAAGAGATAGAGGATTAATGTGCTGGTTTTATTTTGTCTAGAATAATAGCAAAAGATAAATAATGTTTCACCTGTGATTATATTTATATCCTACATGGTATAGAGACCTCAGCCAGCTTAGTTGGGATAAGGCTGGTGATGATGACGATGATGATGATATGAAGTTTCACTATGAAGTTTTTTCATTTATATATTTGAACTCTTGATCTCATACATTAAAAGAAGTGACATTTTTAAGATGCTGATCATCTATATATTTTGATGAAGTTGGTGATTTACTGCTTTTTAACGTATGCCGCAAAATTCTTAGTGCTTAGAAAGTATTGCTGCTGGTTTATGATCGGCTAGGAGTCTCTACTAAAAATTTTTAAAATTGATGTGTTTTATTTTTATGTGGGCTTATTTAATTGCTCCTGTTTTTTCATTTTAAATGAACAAGTGTTGCATCTAAATATCTCTAGTGTGAAGTATTGATGTAGAATGCTACCATTGCACATGTTAATCTATGTATGCTACGTCACTGGTTCTCCACAATATAACCATGCAAAGTTTTAGCAAACATCTCTAGTTCAAGTGAGATAATAGAGTTCGCAGGTTCAAATTGGGCGTGTGAACTTCTTATACTAAATACTCATTATTTCCCTGTATAGAATTTAGTCTCCAACTAGTGTAACTAGTCCTTTTTATTTGTTTCTTGTCTCATGCCCCATTTTTAATAGAATAAATATTTGGGATGTGTTTTTATTCTTGGAAAAAAAAAAGCTATTCAAGGCATCATACTTTTGTCTGAAATAATGATGTCCAAGGGTGACTATTTGTATGGCAAGCTTTATGATCACAACCTGTAATGTCAAAATCCATTCTTTATGCCACATAATTTTACATTCTACGTTATATGAAGTAAATCTGTTGTTAAGTGGGGTTTTATGGTAAAAAGGTTCATGGAGATTAACATTTTAAATTCAGTTTTATCGTTATAAAAGCTATTTACTTTATTGAAATTTATTTTTCATATGCAATTGGGCCTGGTCAAGTTTTTCCAATTAAGCTCCTCAGGAACAGCAATGAAATTAAAGCATATTTTAATTCTTGTATATTTGCTTTGCAGGGCTAGAAGAAATATCATTAATGTCTGGGGACAAGTCATTTTCTACATCAAATTATATGAACTTTTTAGATTCCCCACGATCTTTTTTGTCCAATGGGCAGAAAGCTAGGACATCTGCTGGAAATAATTTGTTTGGTGCAGAAAGTCCTTCTAACCTATCAGTGAATAGTTTGGGAGCTTCTAACCGGGATATCTTATCTCAAGAAAATACATTTATGCAATTGGCTCCTAACGACTTTCATTATGAGAACAGTCTCTTCTCGAGCTCTTTGTCGGAAACATTCGGAAAATGTGAGTGATTTCTTTTGTTTACTTGCCGATTATATTAGTTGCTTCTCTGAGGCAGTTTAATTTTGTAATCAACAGAACCTGTTGAAGCTGATATAGTGTTAACTATGATTTTTAAAATTTATTAATGATTTTTTTCTTGCTTTTTAATGTGGAAAAGTATCTATCTTGCCTTATTGACTGGCCTTTTGACACCTATATTTTTGGCGCTTGCGTTACAATTTGTATTTTTATCTGAAGTTGGCTACTGTTTTTTCATATTCGTAATGCAGCGGTGTTGTTGTCAAGTGATGTACACTTTGGCAAATCAGTGGATGCAAATGACTCTAAATTTGTGGAAGTTGAGCCTTTGGAGTCCTTGAAAGAAATTGAAGCACAGACAATTGGAGATCTCCTTCCTGATGACGATGATTTGTTGTCCGGAATGATTGATGATATTGAATGTGTTGGACAAGCCAACAGTGGTGATGAAGATGATCTATTCTACTGCGGGGGAGGGATGGAACTAGAATCAGATGAAAGTTTTAATTGCAATAGAGCTTCTGATTTCTTCTGTGGAGTGGCCTCAAGTCGTCGGCTTGGTGGATTGAATGGCAGTTTTGCTGGCGAACTAACCTATGGAAAGCAATCCTCCAGGACCCTTCTTGTGAGAAATATCAAAAGCAATGTTGAAGATGCAGAGCTAAAGATTTTCTTTGAGGTATTTTTTTTCTTGACATGTCAACTACACTCTTATTTGTCTTAAACATATCATTATAGCATGAAAGTGTATTCTTTCACATCTATCTTTTACTCTCTGTTCCTTTAGCAATTTGGAGACATTCGTGGACTTCATACCATCAGCAAAAATCAGGGGTTTGTGTTGGTGTCTTACTACGACTTAAGATCAGCTAGGAATGCTATGAGAGCTTTTCAGGACAGATTGCTGAGGCAACAAAGGATTGACGTAAACTATTATTTTCCAAAGGTAATTCAACTCGTACATTTTTCTTCTCTTAAATATATCAAAAATTATTTGAATGCAATTGACATATATATAGAAATGTGTATTTTTTTATGAATGTTTAAACTCGGTGGTCTGATGTCAGTTGTTTCTTTTTTTAAGTCATGATACCTTGTGAGGGTGCGTGGCATTTAGTATTTTCGATGATTAGGAAATATAAGGTGACTTCTGATGGTTTTTATTGTCATGTGTTCTTTCTCTTGTGGCAAAGTTTTCTTTTAAATCAAATATTTTTTAGTCGGATGATGAAATTAAGTTTGATGAGATCAGCTAATATGCTGCTTTGGAATATAGGAGCATAAAATGTTTTTAATTTATATCTTCTGATCTTACTGTTTGAAAACATGTCTTTGAACGTGTTGTTGAATATTTTGAGTCTCTCTACGGGTTATAGTCAAAAACGTTCTTTACAACTGTGGTGGGTTTCCGTTGTTGTTGTGTGAATAATGAGTTTGATTATCTAAATCTAAACTGTACCAGCACTCTATATGAACTTTAAAATTTTAATCTACAAACAATACTATCATACCAATTCTTAAAAAATAGTTATTATTGACAAGAGTTGTCAATTCTTTTGGCTTGTTTCATGCCTTGTTTTGTTGACTGACATTGTCATAAAGCTTTGTTTTCTTAGCCCTATTTTTATTACTGTCAAAAAAGCTTGTTGCTTGCGAACAATTTGCGTTCGACTCGTTAAATAGCTCGTATTTGATTCGTTCGTTAAGCAAATGAGGCGAACGTGAGCTATTTTTTTAGCTCGGTTTATAAAAAGTCAAACAAGAACTAGGGTTAATTTGTTTGTGTTTGGTTTATTTTAGCTTGAAATAATTGAATAATAATATTTATTTATATATATTTAAAAAATACCAAATTTTATTAATTATAAAAATTATTTGAGTTGTATAATTATAAAAAATATAAATTTATGTGGTAGTTATGCAAATACATAGCATTTGGGTGGGATGTATGTACTTGTTTCAAAATAATTCGAAGGAATGGGAATGGTCTCCTCTCAGATTCTCAAGTAGCTAACCAAGCATCTTTTTAGTTCCATAGTGGAGGGAAGTTAATGTGAGAAAAGCTTTATAAAAACAATAATCATACAACTCTAAAGCTCCAACGCAAAAGAATATTGTACTGTGTGGATGGGAAACACTTGAGCCATGCAGAAGGGAATACCATAAATGAGCTGAACATATGCTTAATTCGGTTGAACTATTTCATTCCGAGGTTTGGTCGAGCCTCACAGAAGTGATCCTTTGCCACGCAAGTGTACGACATCTGCCGTGCTTAGGGAACAAACGAGTTTGAATCGAGCCAAATGCAAAAATAGGCTACTCACGAGCAATTTCGAACACGAGCCGAATAAGAACAAAAAAAAGAAAAAAAAATGAACGATCCGAACACGAACAATTCTTGGGCACGCTCTAGCTCTATCGTTTACACCTCTGCCTATTTTTCCAGTTCTTCCCTTTATGAAATAGCAAAATTACAAGAATTTGTTAATTATAAATAACTATCCTATTAAGATGTCCAATATACTTTATATATATATACTAACTATAAGTTTTGTGTATTGTATGCTAAGATTTATGTATGAGGCGTGACTTAGACTTGTCATGGGAATTTTTAGCAATACTTAACACAAATATGAGTTGTGCTATATTTTCATAAGCTCGCATCATCTGTAATTATTGTACACAAAATACTCGCGACACAAGCACTACCAAATAACCTTCTCACAATACCTATAAATGAATCTGGGCAAGGGTCATTTAAGCAAGTAGTTTGGTGAACCTGGCCTCATTTTCCCTTATTACATATAACCCACTACTTGGCCACGGGAAGCAACGGAGTTCACTCTATAACTGACTCAGGCGTGATGAGCTACCATGCTAGTTACTTTCCTATTCGCGATTCTTCCTTGGGCCCGACGCCTTGTGTAGTTACAGGAGATAGCATGGCACGATTATAGGACTTAACACAACACTATGTAATTTTATGTACTTCTATGAACCTTTATGTATTTTTTATTAAATCTTTGTCAAATCTTGTACTGAAGTTAAGGCCACTCCAAAAATCTATAAACAGGAGGTTAAAAGTTGAATAAACATTAATAAAAAAAGTTATTTCTCTCTCTCTTTCTCTCTTTTCATTCCACTCTCGTCCTACGCACTCCAACCTAATCGGTTTGTGTATGGAGAATTTTGAATCCAACAATTATTATCATCTTCATTTATCTTATCTAAACTACTTGGTGTTGACATCCGTCATACTTATAATAAACTTCTAAATTAAATGTGATTAATAATAATAGTAACGTAGTTATTTCTCCTTATCGGATGGTGAAGCGCGATAAGTGATTAATGCTTGACATGAGAATTATAGAAACAGAGCATGATAGTAAGGAAGAATGATTTGGTATAGAATTGAGTTACAATGGCACAATTTGTGTATCATATGTCTGACACCTCATTTCAAAGAGCCTGAGGTGTGCCCATGTGGCCCAAGCGTCTGATTTTTTTCTTTTTATAGAAAAGGTGGAACACTGCATGTCTAACAGTCTTGAAATGTTTTGATTGCCCAGCTGTCTGAATGATGCTGAGGCTGTTTAAACATTGTCACTTCATTCACTATATAGAAGTGCGCACAGAAAAAAAGAAAGAGCATTTGAAGCATGATAAAACCAACATGTGTACCTGAGTTGTCTTAATTGGTTTTCTTTTTAAAATCTCATTATCATGCTGCTCAATTTTGTATTTTCACATTTATCTTCACAAAGTTTTCTGATTATCCCGGTTTCTTTTCTGCAGTTTTAACAAATTTTTGTAATATTTATTATTTACGGCCATTCTATAGCAGGATAACTCTTCTGAGCAAGATGTTAATAATGACACACTTATTATATCCAACCTCGATTCCGCTGTTTCAAATGATGATATACACCAAATATTTGGTTCCTATGGTGAAATTAAAGAGGTCAGGTGCACAAATATTCTTTGGATGAAATGTTTGAACTTTATACAGTATGCTAATACCCTTGATTGTTGATTTGTAGGTTTTCCATGATCCACACAATCAAAATCAAGTTGTAATAGAGTTCTATGATGTTAGAGCTGCTGAGGCAGCATTTTATGCTTTAAACATGAGTGAGATTGCTGGCAAGAGAATTAAGATTGAGCTTGGCTGTCAAGGAGCTGTGCGGCGGGGGGGGGTTTCCTACTTCCCTACAATTCAATTGTCTTTAGTTTTTACATTTTGATTTCAAAGCACGTTTTCTGTTATTGGCATTAGCTCAATAAATGAGTTTCAAACTTTAAATTTAGTAGGTTGCACTGTTTCCAATGCTGCTCACGGTTGCTTTAGAACTTAGTTTCTAGATATATTACTTATATATCTCTTGAACTAAAAGTCTCCCAACCATTTAGCTTCTTTATTTATTTAATCATGAGATCTGCTGATTTAGCACTCGAATATTATGTTTGATTTATGAAATAATTTGATGCAATTACTGAACTTCCAATCTGAAAGTGTTTGCTGTAGTTGTGTAAAATATAATATTTTGCCTGCACTCGGTAAAGATAAAATTGTTTATAAATGAAGAGCTGGAATGCAACAATGCATACTGATTTTGTATAATAAAACAGATCCATGTGCAAATACTAAATGCAAATGATAGCTGAGATTTTTAGTAACAATTGTATTGAAGCTTTTGGAACTAATTTTTCATGTGGAGAGTTACCAAATAAGTTACTTATATGATAGCCCTGGATATTTTTGGTGCAAAACTTTTCCTTGACAACTAAATGTTCTAATTTCTTTATATTTCTGCTAAATGCATCATATATATCCTTACAAATCTTGGAGTAACACTGTCTTAAAAGGCTCTCACCCACTTTTGTTTTTATGAAGGGATAATTTCACATAGCCTTAACTCTCCATTTAGCTAAATGGCGGATCCCATGATTTCTAGTTACAATGCAAACTAATTGATGCGCACATGCTTGTTTTTTTACATCCCCTTCAATTCTATTTCTCTAAATACTCTGTTCTTTTTTTACCCTTTTATGAGCTTAATGTCACCTCCCAAAAGAGCTCTTAGGGGTGGTGGGCAGCCCAGGACTTAAATACTGCTTTTCGGCCCTACACCTATTAGATGTGGGACTTTTTGTCCGTGACATTCTCCTCCACCCAATCACGTGACGCCCTCGTCACGGATCGGCTCCACCGAGGGTCCCACTGGACCATGGAGAGTCCATACACCTGACAGACAGTAATCTGCTCTGATACCACTTGTCACCTCCCAAAAGAGCTCTTAGGGGTGGTGGGCAGCCCAGGACTTAAATACTGCTTTTCGGCCCTACACCTAGCCGATATGAGACTTTTTGTCCGTGACATTAAGCTGAGGCAAAACCAGCTTCATTTGGTTGCAAAATCAAATGATTGATTCCTAATATTGAGTGTTGTGATAGTGCTATTAATTGGGGTTCATGGAGTAGAAAGGACCTGCAATTGTGTTGGATTTATGCATTGTTATGAAAATTGATTGACACATAGCTCATCCTGATCGAGAGGAAGTGAAAAAGATTCATAGTGCGTGTTGGGATGAAAAGGAGGAATGTAGGGTATGGAGATCCAAAATCATGTAGAGATGCTAGACAAACTATTGTTTAAGATTTTATGAGGAAATTTTATCCGTTGAGAGATGCAATTTGAAAACAAGGAAAACATGTGATGCCAATGAAACTATTGATGAAATTTTAATCACGGTTGTAAAGAAAATGCGCAAAAGTATGCAAATATTCAATTAAAATCAATTTTAAAATAAAATGGATCGTTAACCCTCTTTTTTGATATTTAATTGAAGATAGTAATTCAAATATTAGCAGTTCAATAATTAATCTTTTCATAAAAATACAATTAAGATTTAGAACATCTGTGGGACTAATGTCGACTTAGATCACACACAAAATTAAAATTTAATATGTAGTCAAATTGAATTAAATTGATCTAATTGTTCCAAGTATTTGTAAGAGAAAATGAAATCAAGAAAAGAAGATAGAACAATAGAGCCTCACATTTGAACACTGACAATGTATCTAGCAAGAGTTTGGAAGAAGAAATATAATCTTCACATCAAAATAAAAACTAGTGTTTTTTTTAATAGCTAAAAGTCTCTTTCATTATTTTAGAGCCTCATATTTATGGAATTGTAATGGATTAGTAAAAGGAAATGAACTTTGGTGTTTTATTGTAGGGTATGTTCAATGTTAATTGTTTTTTGAGTTGGAGTAATTGCAGGTAATGCTGGGTCTAATGCATCTTAGTTCTTCAAGACACGTAAATTTTTTACTTGCCTTATACTGGATTATTTGTAAGATTTGTTCGTTCCAATGTACATTGTTTCCAAGATAGGGTCTTAGGTTTTTTAGTTTTAAGGTATGTGAATTTCTTATGCTACCTTGGTTGGATGCAATGTCTGTGATGGAGGGAAAAGTTGTATCAATGATTCTTGATCTGCTTTGATTATGGGCTTAGGAGTTGAAAGAAGGAACACATAGACACAAGGTGATAGCAGAACGGAGGGAATTATAAAGGCTTAATGATTAAATGCAACACACATAAATCATAAATTATGGAACTAATAGTCAATCTAATGTTGAATCAGGTCTAGGAAATAAAATATTAGAATTTTATGATGCCCCTGCATTAATTATGATGCATAGTTGTTAATGTGATTGAATCAGGTCTGGGAAAATAAAATATTAGAATTTTATAATGCCCCTGCATTAATTATGATGCATAGTTGTTAATGTGATTGACGAATCAATTATTTTGAAAGAGGAAATCAAGAAGCTTCAACTTTCATTCTTCAATCAACAGATTTCAAAATTAGCTAGAAATCCATATTTATTAGAATAGGGCTGCAAAACATAAGATTTGAATCAAATCTATTGGCCAACATTCTAAACTTGATCCCAATATATTCCAACATGATATTTAATTTTTATTTTAATAAATTAACTTTATAAAAAATATATTTTAATTAAATAATTAAAGTAAATCCTAAACTTAAGCTCTTGTTCATCATTAACTCCCTTAGGCTTTGATAAAACTCTTTTTAAGAGTTACAAAGATTATTTATGAGTTTTGATGAGTAGGGTCGTCAAGAGAGCCTTGTGTGTTTTGCAATCATGAGGTTTGTGAATTATTAAAATATCTTACATTTAAATAAAATATAGTTTGTTGTTTGCTTTCCTTTAAAAAGGTATACATTTTTTAAGTTTGTAGTATACCTTATATTCTTTCATAACATCTGATCATCAAGAAATTTATGTACATAGATCTAAATGAAACACACACACACACACACACATAGAAAGGGAGAGGGAGATTGAATGCACAAGCATATCTTTACAACCTTCTATATGCTTTTTATTATATGTGATTGCTTGATTTTATTAAGGGTCTACACAAGTTGAGTTTCTTGTTGATTTAGCTCTGACTCAAATCTTACCCGTTCAAAGTTAGCTTATGAGCTGAATCATTTATCACGAAGGAGAAAATTTTGATTTAAATTATTGATGTAATAAAATGATGAAAAGAAAAATAATTACAAGAAAAGTAATAAGAAATCACTTGATATAAATAAGAGATATGTAGTTTTTGAATATTTTTAATTATTTTATTCTTAAACTCTTGATTCCTAATGTATTTAAGCATATTATATATTAATTTTCTTAAACAAGTTGGCTCTCGAACTGATATTTTGAGTTAGTGCTTGGAACGATTGCTCATTGAGTTCCACTCATGAGCTATTTATTAAGTAAAGCCCAAGCTGACTTGTAAGTCGAGTTGTTTCTATTGCCCTCATAATTTCTAGCCGTGAAAATTTTGAGTAAAATAAATCTAAATTTTGTTTTCAATCGTAAAAATTAGAGGAAAAGATGACAAACATTTTTATCCTTTCTCCTATAAATATTATTATTGAATATGGTTGCTTATGGTACTTTGATGTAACTTCCAATATAAAAAATTGTGTAAAGTATTCTAGGGTTCTCCTTGGTTCAATGGGTGATTCATATCTGTTTACTTTTTTTAAAAACCCTTCAACTTATTTGTTGGCACCACAGGCTTAACGTGTGATAGTGCTTAGAATATCCACCCACTTTTTTTAAAGCCCCTTCATTTATTAAATATTCAACATTTCTAGTGCTATAAATGATTTTTTCTATAAAGTTACATTTATCCTTGCTCAAAGTGATCTAAATCCTAAAATTATCAACCATGACCTATAGCTCATCATTTGTGGAGAGGTCTGCATGATGCTCAATTTCATGAATGACATCCTCAATCCAGCCATGGAAACTAGGTCGTCTTGATGTTTAGGTCCACTTTATCCTTGCTAATTTCACAAACTTCAAGACACTGGCAAGCTGCGCTTGGGGTCCAAGACAGCAAGCTTTGCTGTAGGTGGAAGAAGGGTTTCAAATGCCGCAAACCTAAGCCTACTGGAGTTTTATGAGATCATGATCACTAATCCGAGCACTTAAATCTTTCATCAAATCCATGTAACACTTCGTGTCTTTTAAAACTGTAAAGAAAACTCTTTGTGCCAGCTTTTTTAACTGTAAGCTTGCCGTTATAAAGTGGAGTGGAGAATTTTTTATCATCACCGGCAATTCATTGTCTGTCCATCTTATAAGCTAAAGGCATTTTAGGAATCTGAAGGATTTTAATGGGCATGTCATGAAAGGCCCAAGTTGAAGCATATAATAAGACTCATCGACTCAATTGCAGTATTTTAAAAATTTTGAATAATGGGAAGTGATACTTTAACCTCGGAAATTCGGTTGTAATTTATTGAAAAAAAAATGTCAGAAGTTTCATGAATTTATCACATAAGAGTTTGATGTAGTAGCATAAGTTCTTGTCTTCTTATATATTATTTTAATCTTCCGTCATACTTGGCTTCCCGGGCACTCATGTCTTGTTAGTCAGATTATTTTCATAATGCTTAGAGGCTGAGGTTTCAAAGAAGCTCGGTTTTCTTTAACGTTACTATAAAACTTACTATAATCAAATGATGTTTTACATTAATAGGTTTCTAAAGGAATTGTGCTAATTTGTTAATTGCCTGAATTGATACCTTGGTTTTACACTACATAATCTTTTTTCATTCTGTTTCTTTCTGGCTTTCTGGTATATACTACAGAGAGATATCCTCCATTGTTTTTTAGCCTTTTTATTCTCCCCGGAGAATAAAAAGAAAATACTCACCAGTTTTGAATATTCTGACTGCATGTAACATCCTTATTTTTTTTGACAGCCCACCCAAGCACTCTTTATTAAAACTTGAACTGGAAGGTTCTACCAAAGGCATAAATGGAGGTTCCTTTAGTAACTCCGCATTGGAAAATGGTGGTATGATGCCTTTCCCTCTTTCAGATGATTTTGCTTATGCTTTCATCTTTAGTAGCTTTTGATATATTTTATGATCTCGCAATATTATGCCTTTTCTTCTATTTATTGTATGTTCTCTCTGTATTTCAGCTTCCTCCAGAACCATAGCATATGGAGCTAATACTACTGTGGGACTTGATAGTGGTTCTATTCAGAGCTCTGCTCCCCAGAAACTAATCAACCCATTCATGGAGAGCAAATTCCCAGGAATATCTTCTACTATGCCTCATAGCCTGTCCTCACCAATTAGAGTCTCAATGGTGGGAAATCATGGCAGTCAATCTAACCTTGATGATCTTAGCCATTCTTTAGGACAAATGAACTTTGGTTTTCAAAACATGCCAACCTTCCATCCTCATTCATTACCAGAATTCCATAATGCTCCAATTCCTAGCATCCCTTTCAATGCCATAAGAGCTATTCCATCAATAGCCACAAATATTAATTCCAGATTATCTGATGGCATTGATACTCAGCAAAATAGACAGGGGGCAGGTCACATAAACAGCCATTCCTTCGAACCAAAGGAAGGTAATTTGTAAGAGTAAAAAGTAACATTTTGCTGTCCTTGATTTTTTATTAACATCATTCAAATTTTCAGGTAAGGCAATTTCCCCTATAAGTGGGCATCAGTATTTTCAAAGCAATTCAAATTTAAATTTCCACCATTCCCCCAGTTCTCTGATGTGGACCAATTCACCATCATTTGTAAACAACATTCCAGCTCAACCTCAACAGCTGCATGGTCTTCCAAGAGGGCCATCTCATATAATGAACAACTTTGTTTCTGTACACCATCATCACGTTGGTTCTGCTCCTGCTCTTAATCCCTCACTCTGGGGAAGGCGCACTACATATGCTGGGGATTGTATGGAGGCACCGCCTTCTTTCCACCCAGGCTCTGTTGGAAACATAGGATTCTCTGGAAGCTCTCCCATCCATCCATTTGGAATCTCTTCTCATAATATTTATCCACATGACTGTCGTAACTGTATCGACCCATCAGCTTCCACACATGTTGGGAGCCCGTCGCCTCAGCAGCGGTCTTTCATGCTTCATGGAAGGAATAGCTTGAATTCTGCCGCTGGTTCTTATGATTCTTCTGGTGAGAGGATCAGGAGCCGGCGATGCGATTCAAGTGCTACTCAACCTGATAACAAGAAGCAATTTGATCTGGATATCAGCCGAATTATCCGTGGGGAAGATACCAGAACCACTCTTATGATAAAGAACATTCCAAACAAGTGAGCCAGGCGTTCAATTCCTTCTTGCTTATATGATTTTGATATTGATGCAATAACCATCTAAATTAAAGTGCTTGAAACTTGATTCCTAGGTACACATCTAAGATGCTTCTGGCTACAATCGATGAGCACCACAAAGGAACTTACGATTTCATCTATTTGCCCATTGATTTCAAGGTTGATTTTTTAATTATTGTATGTAAGGTGGAAATCATACTCATCTTGTTATCTACTAACTAACATTAACTTCTGTTTCTTTCCTCTTTTCAGAATAAATGCAATGTGGGCTATGCTTTTATCAACTTGAATGACCCCAAGCACATTATTCAATTCCACCAGGTCAGATTCATTAAACCCTTCCGCATTTCTCAAAGAATCATTACATACATACCTCCCACTTCCTATGTATTTACATATCTAACATCTGAACTTTACTTTTTTACATTTATGCCATCCAAATCCTTTCATATCACATCAAAAATACTACATTTTAATTTTTAAAAAGTAAAATACAGTTTTGCATGCATGAGCAACGTGGTATCTATGTAAAAATTGAAGTTTAGCTGTTAGACATGTAAATACTATATACATTGGAATGGAGTGGTATGTATGTAAATCTTTCTTTCTCAAATATATAGCCCTATTTTTCTTAACCTGTTGTACTTCTACCTATATAATTTTAAGATCGACCATTGCAGGCATTTAATGGTAAGAAATGGGAGAAATTCAACAGTGAAAAAGTGGCTTCACTCGCGTACGCCAGAATCCAAGGTAAAGCCGCCCTGATTGCTCATTTCCAGAACTCAAGTTTGATGAACGAAGACAAGCGATGCCGTCCCATCCTCTTCCACTCCGATGGCCCAAATGCTGGGGATCAGGTATAATAAATTCACAATTGTCAGGCTTAGATTTCAAATTAGGATACACTAAATCATTAATGTGATGGGAGGGTAATATTTGCAAATGTACATTTGTTTGTGGTGCAGGAGCCCTTTCCCATGGGAACCCACATCAGATCAAGGCCTGGTCGATCCAGGACCTCAAACAACGAAGATCTGCCCCCTAGAAGTCCACCAGACTCTGGCATTGGAGACGACCTGTCAAACAACAGCACAGATTCTTCTTCAAGCTTTGCCAAAGACTGAGTGGGACCCAAGCCATTTTTCCTGGGGGGCACTAACCTTACAACCTACATAAGCTTTTTTTTTTTTTTTTCTTCTTGTCTTGTCTTTCTTTCTCACATCTGCACTCCTGTGAGCTCTGCATTGTGTTGAAATGCAAAAAGCAGAGAGGAGCTGAGCTGAGTTGAGTTGAGATTTTGGTGGCTGCGATGAATAAAAAGGAAATTGTACAGCAAGATTTTGAGAGGAAAGGGAGAGCGATTATTGTTGATATTTCTCCGTGTTTTGGCACGTCCTCACTCTGCACATTCGTCTATTTTTTTGGTCATTTCGTATATTTCTAATCCCCCCTTTTTTTTTGTGCTTTTTTGTTTTATTATTTCCAAGTTTTGTGACTCCATTTTATGTGGAGCTTTGGTTCTTTTTGGAGGATATGTATGTTATATTTCATAGTTCCCATCTTGATGGTTATGCAGCCTTCAAAAGGTTTGGAGCTTGTTTGTATTTATCTTTTCATTCATAGTTTAAGACTTTTATGTGTAAAAATGAAACTTTAGGTGTGAAATAAGTAAATTCATGATAATTGTGTGCTGTTGATTAATTTATGTTAAAGCTGTTGGTTGGAATACTTTTTAAAGTGTAAAAATGATAATATTAAATATGCTCTCTTCTTGTTGAGAGATACTTTTTAAAATATATTTTTAAACTTTTAAAGTGATAATATTAAATATAATCTCTACAACTTGAATTTTTCATCACTTTTTGTGACCTGAGGTTTTTGTAATTCTAAATCTTTATTAGAATGCTAGCTTTGGTGCTTGCTGAATTTGTTTTTTTTTTTTTTTTTTTTTTTTTTGGATATTTTTCAATTTTTGGTTGTAAGGTTTTTCTTTACTCTGAGGATAATTTGAGATATTTTTTTAAGAATACTAATGTTTTAATAAATTATTTTTTATGCTTCTACTCAACAACTACAATAAGCCTTTAATCCATCAAGTGTGATCATGAATTCATTTTCTTTGTTGCCTTATTATGTGTAATATTTTTATTTAATTTTAATTGATTAAGATAGTTTTTTTTATATAATATGCCTAAATCTTTTTAGGTCTACATCTGTATTTCTTAATATTAATCGAATATAAAACATCTAATCTCCTATTCAGATGACCAAAGTTTATTGTTACCAAACCATCTAAGCCTAAAACATCTACTTATAGAGAGTTCCTGCCACCGCACTTCTTCCCACCTTTAAGCTCACCGTCGGCAACCTGTCCTGCAAACGAGCACAGCCGACTGCTCTTTGCCCTCCTCATGCAGTTCTTCACTGTTTATTTGTGTCCAGCTGTCGACATCCTGAAACTCGCTCAAGCAAACCCAGACAAAATCAACATCGGCTTCCCCTCTCCGATCCAAGGCCAAGGCCCACTTCTGTATTCAAATGTTTATTCCATTCTACCCACTGTAAGTTCATATAACAACATTTTCAGCTGTGACTTTTCAAGGAATTGAAGAAATTTGAACTTGGTTTTCCTCCATTTATGTTGTGCTTGGTCAAAAATATGATTTTTAGATTAAGAAGTATTGCAAAGAAAATTAATAAAATAATCAACTTAGTCCATCTTGTATTGTATGGTGCTTTTCTTTGGTGTCTTGAAGAAAAGACCGCGATGTGAGTGTCGGATTTTGCCAGTAAGACGACCATTCCTAGTGTTTGGGTAAATAGATCGAGTCTCAAGCGTTGGGTGTCGTCTTTAATAAGGGATTGACATATATCATTAATAGTCATGATTACGATAATTACCCTCACATAGGTGGGCTAGGATGTTCTTTTGAGGAGGACGAGTATAATTAGATTGGTATGTGAACTTGATTCAGTAAGTGAAAAACTTCATAAACTCGTCTATATATATATATATATATATATATATATATATACATTTTTTTATATTAAATTTATGAACTTGTTACCTAATTTTTCTCATTGACAATGATTAAGAAATAAAATATGCTAACTGATGATTAATTTAAGTGTGGATAAAAAATATTTAATATAATAAATAAATAAATAAAATCATTAGGCATTAGCTAAACCAACTCAATAATTTATTCATCTAGAACTGATCGGGTTGAGCAGGTCCGAGTAACGGGTGTGGCCCAAAATGATCGTGATGAGATTATGCTCAGGGTGGGCAATTGCTCCCATTGAAATTTGCAATTTCTCTATTTAAATAGTATAATTTAATATTTTTTCTTATATAGTTTTGGAAATTTAAGAATTTGCCCCCTCATGATTTTTTTTTTTTTTTGCCTAATACTTGAAAAAAATAAAGTATTTAGTGATTTTGTCACCCCTAAAAAATAATTATGGTTTCGCCCTTGCACATGCTCTACCTATCAAACCACCACTGTCAATTTAACTCAAATGAGTCGAATGAATAACTCTTGGGGTGTAAGTGTAGATTTGAATTTTCCTGTTCTTCTTCCCTTACCATTTTGCCTGATTGATCATACAAATTTCTTTCCTTTATCGTGTTCGCCTTCCCTTTTGAGGACTCGTGCGATCTCCCATAATATTCCTTCTCTTTTTTCTTCGCTTGTGTCTGTTATCGAACCGCCTCTATGCTCTATTAAAAGGTTTGAATATTACGACATTGACACCTCATACTTCTACATAGCCCACTTATACTCCTATCTTTCTCCTCCTTATCTGAACCCTCGCGATATAATTGCGATTAGAGCTATCCATGAAAGCAACGAGGAGATCATAGCGTATAAAAACCACAAAAACTCCTATATTTCTACTCCCAACAACTTTGTAGCCCCATCCTCCTTACCACCTTAGTCGAGATCTAAGGTGAGCTCACACCTCTTTAATTTCTACTTCTATTATTTCTTATTAATTTTATGAACGAAAGTCTTAAGCATTTCTGAATTTGAAATTTCATGCTCAATTTTTTTACTCATCTAAATCATGTCAAGGTTAACATAAATCAATATCGAGGGTGATATTAAAAAAATTGATAATGAATTTGGTTATATTATAAAATCATCTAAACTAGCTAGGTTCCAATTAATTTGTTAATAAGTACACATCAAAAAGGTCTATGCACTAATCTTATAGAGATCTAACGGTTCAGAAGAAAAGAATATGATAAAGGCAGATCTACTGCAAAGAGATTGTGAGGTCCACAAAATCGAATAAGCCAAGCCATGCAAGCCAAGCCAACTAGGCCAAAACCCACCGAGCGAAAAGGACAACAAGAAGACGAATGAGCTATCCAAGCATAAGCCATTCGACCAGAAATGAGACAAAAGGGCTTATGAACCGTTAACTGCAAGAAAGCCGATTTAATGTTGTAGCCTGTTCAACATTGGAATCGATTCTATGGAAGTGTTAGTTCGACAAAATATCTTTAATCATCCAATGGAGACCCAAAAAATCCTTATTAAAGATTGAAGATAATCAAACAGGTTGGATTAACCAACCAAACTCTACCGATCAAGCTTCTAAACGAACTGATCTTGTAAGGCCAAGTAAACTAAGCTTAGCCGATCGAGCCATAAGGCAACCATACTATAATCCGTCGCTTGTAAAATATTAGAAATACCCTAGTACATACCCTTTCCAAATGGGAGTAAAAATCTGATATCATTGTTGTACTATATCCTTTATAAACAGCTGAAACATTTAATCGAGAATGAGCTCTATTTTTATTGTTCATCTTTCCCCCTCTCTCACCTCATTTATGCAAATTTCTTAGGTTTGATTCACGAACAATCTTGAACTAAAAAAAAAGTAAAGTTATACTCCCAATAATGTATTTATAATTAGTTGGTTATTCATTGTTGTTGGAGAATCTTGTCGGACATTGCTAATTAAACTTTTGATAAATTTGAAACCCGATATTTAGCACTTCGAGGTAAGTAATTGTTATGTATTATAGAATAAGCATACATGTCCAAGTTATGAAAGTTATCATTGATACTTGTACTAGTTCCTAGCTAATTGTAGGTTTGTCAATCATATCCTTTAAATTTTATTAGTATAATTGTAGTAGATTTTATTTATCGTTCATAACGAGTTACATATGTAAGTAGTCTTGTTTTATTATTGCACATGCTCCTATTGAACCACTCTCATTTTCCAATATTTACCTTATAGTTGTTTCATAATTATTTATAAATACTGGTGAGTATGTTGTAATTATATTCCTATGCTTTGATTATGGTGCATGAAAGATATATGACATTATAATATTATTATGTCAGCATTAAGCCATTTCGTTATGGCTAGCCACATATTCTAAAAAAAATCAATACAATTTCTTGAGATTCGTGCTTAAATTTTCTTATTTTAGGGTGTCTAAAAAAATATGACTATACAAATGTAATTATATATATACATCTACAATTTTATATTATCAGGTAGTGTCAATAGATTGTTCTATATATGTATAAACACATATGATATGTTAAGCTATAAATATATACATAATAGTGCATGTATTCAAGTCACTCATATTCATGATTATAAGCATAAGATAATTCTTTTGCAAATTTTGTTATGCATGTAATAAATTGTCCTTTCATTATTGTCTATACTGGATGACTCATTTTCTTGTTGTCTATGCTTTAATAAGTAGTGATTATTTATTGAGTTTGATTTATCAAAGTCGTCCGTTGTTATTTTTGTATAGTAGGTTATCTTTAGCCACTGGCTAGATTGACCCCACAGAATCAAATCTTCTAGTTCTAGATTGATTCTTTTTGTATTTTTAGCATTTTTTTAGTTTTTCTTTCGTCTCTTGGGCTTTGGGTAGTTATTTATCATGCAGTCAGTTTAGTTTCACTTCAATTAGTATTGATTTTCTTTCAGCTGTATCAGTTAGACTCTTATTTATGAAATAATTTATCCTTTTTGTTAAATTTTGTTATTTATTACACAATTTTTTTTGAGAATATAAAATATGCTCAATTTATTTTATCATGCACTACATTGACGGAGTGTATCGCCTTCTAGTCCCGGGGTGTTCCACTTTCTGTACCCAAAGTGTGACAATAAGTGGGTCTGGTCAGCTTGCGAACCAGCTTAAGCTTGACTCGTTAATGAGTTCGCAAGTCAAACTTATCAAACTATGAGCTGAAGCTCAAGCTTTGATTCAAGCTCGTTTATTATACGAGTCAGAGCTTGAGTTTAGCTCGACACTGCTCGTGAGATTGTCAAATCATTACTTAATTCATTGATTAATCTCAAGACACAAATAATAAATAAATTTTTTCTACTATTGTATAAAATTGTTAATGCATTTTTAATAGAATTTTCAAAACCGAGCTTTTGAGCTAGGCATGATTGCCATAACCCGAGTTTGAACTCAAGTCATGAACTCAAGTGGAGCTCCCCTACCATACCCCTAAATAATTCCATACATATCACAAGATCCAATATATTTGCATATCTAACGCCTAAACTTTCATAATTACATACCTACCTTTATAAATTATGACATCACCTCAAAAACACTGCCATCAGTATCTTTTTTAACAGTGAAACATATAATTGCATGCATGAATTTATGAAAACATATGTAGTATGTGTAAATATTAAATATAGGTGTTAGATATGTAAAAACATAAGAACTACATGGTATATATGTAAAGTTCCCTTTTAATTATAATTTTTATTTTCCTCAATCCACATGAAACCAACGGCCACGATCAATGCTCCCTGTTCCAACCAATCACAGTTAAACCCACTCCCTACCCCATAAAATTAACGTCTTTGGTAAATTAGACCGCCTCATCGGTTTCAGAAATTCATATCTACTAACATGAAAAGAGCAAGAGATGGTCAGGCCCTCCCCTCCCTCTTCAGTCTAGTCTGATCGCATTTCTGTGCATAATCTCGTCAACTCTCCAATAAAATAGTCGCTTTGTTTCCGCCATTATTCTACTGGCACCACTCACCTGACAGTCTGGTCGATTCTCGCCAGCATTCACTTTGCAGAGGGTTGGCCAGATGAAACAGCTCTGTCTGCGGAGCCGAAGTATCAGGAGCTTCTTCTCCTCCCCCGCAGGCCGGAGATGCGCGGAGGAGAATGGCTCCGCCGTGGCCCCCAAGAGAAATTCCAGTGAGGCCGAGCTTGAGGCGAAGCTGGTGAAGAAGCCTACATGGAGGTGCTTCGCTTATGAGGAAATCCACAGAGCAACCAACGGCTTCCATCAAAGTAAAATCAGAGGCCGGCCATTGTCTCAACCTTTTTTTGTTTTTTGTTTTCTTTTAAATGCCAAAATCATGCCTTTCTGTTGTTTAGATAAATTGGTAGGGAGAGGAGGGCATGCGGAAGTTTACAGAGGAGAGCTTGATGATGGCCAGGTGATAGCAGTGAAGAGACTAACAATAGCAGCGAGTGATGAGCAGACGGAGAAGGAGTTCTTGACAGAGCTTGGAACTGTTGGCCATGTCCGGCATCCTAATGTTACCGCATTCCTGGGATGCTGCATCGATCGAGATCTTCATCTCATCTTTGAATTTTCTTCTCTCGGCTCCGTTTCCTCCAATCTACACAGTAAGAAAAAACACTAAATTCTTTCAGAAAGCCAAGCTTGTTGTGCAAACTGCGTTAAATTTCCAATCTTGCAGATGCAGATTCATCGCCAATGCCGTGGAAGCTACGTCACAAGACGGCGGTGGGAACGGCCCGAGGACTCCATTATCTGCACAAGGGATGCCAGAGAAGGATCATTCACAGGGATATAAAGTCTTCAAACATTTTGCTTTCAGCAAACTTTGAGCCACAGGTATCTTACAATGAAGCCATTGGCGCATGATGACATTGTGTTTGATGTTATGCTCACAAAACATGTATCTGCTTTCAGATTTCAGATTTTGGGCTTGCAAAATGGCTTCCATCTGAGTGGACTCACCGGGCCGTTGCGCCGATCGAAGGCACATTTGGGTTAGTCATTTTTCATTTGAATTGAGCTATTTTGTGCAATATGTGATTCATAATGAATGGATTTTGATATATTGATCAGATGCTTGGCGCCTGAGTACTTCACCCATGGAATTGTGGATGAGAAAACTGATGTATTTGCCTTTGGGGTCTTTATTCTAGAGATTATTTCAGGGAAGAAACCAGTGGATGGATCCCACAAGAGCCTGCTTAGCTGCGTAGGTTTCTATCATCTTAAACTTCAAAAATATTTCTTTTGGTATGTCTCATTTGGATGAAGTTTCTGTGATTCTTGATGCCAACTAAACTCAAGTTTATGTAGGCAAAACCATATTTAAATGATGGAACGATACAATTATTGGTAGATAGAAGATTGGGAGAGGAGTATGATATTGATCAGTTGAAGAGGCTCTCCTTCATAGCTTCTCTTTGCATCAGGCCAAATGCAGCTTGGCGCCCTTCCATGGCTGAGGTATGCAATGAAATTATGTAATTTTTTTTTTAGAAAAATGTTAAAATAGTCTTTTTGACTGTTTATAAGGGATTATTTTAGGCTCAATCTATGAAAGTGTTAATTTAGTCCCTAGACTCCCATAATGAGTGCAACAATAATCCTCCTGGTAACTATTTTAGCCGGTATTAAAAGATGTTATGAGTGTAATATCTAACTTTGGGTGTAAGATATGTAAATACATAAGAATTGTGTAGTTTATATGTAAAGTTTTGTCTTTTTGCTGTATTCATAAATAAAATAAGCTGATTAAATCTCAAAATCTATATAACCTGGTGGTGTAGATAGAAAGATTTGACTGTTATCTTTGTGCTGGTAAACCATATTCCTTACATGTAATCTTTTGTTTACATATATTTATATATTAATATATTTCCTACATTTATGCTTGCTTCTGTCATATTATAGAAAAAGAGGTGAACTTTTTTGCAGATTTACCCATTTTGATTTCTGATTTGAAAAAGCATATATCTATTTCTTGTTCCATAGAGCGAAGGACCCACTAATGGCTTTTCTCTTAACTTCTACTCACTCCACACATGATGCTCATGGAAGCCATAGCCGTGTTTGCTGGAAACCTTTTTATAAAGAAAAGATTTTGATAGGCCACCTCACGCATTTAGATGAATTACAAAATAATTTAGGGAAATTTACATACACACCACACAATTCTTATGTATTTGCATATCTAACATCTAAACTTTAGTAGTCACATTTATAACACTTTGGTGTGATAAATCTCTGCATGTAAAGGTTTATTTGATGATAAAGATTTTGAGTGCAATGTATATGTAGTGTTAGATATGTAAATACATAAGAATTGTGTGCCATGTATGTAAATGCCCCATTAATTTAATCAACAACTATATGAACTTTTTTAATGAAGTGGGTGATGGCAGGTTTTGAATCTTATAGAAGGTGGAGATGTGTCTTCTGAAAGGTGGAAGATGCCTGAGGTAGAAGAGGAGGAATTGTGGGATTTGGATGATCTGGACGACTGTGATGTGCCCACGTCATCATCTTCTTCTTTATCATCAACAATGGGTGGTTGATAACTTTACTGATTTGTTAGCTGAAATCTCTTAGATAATCTAAGTTTTTGTAAATTTGAAAAGGATTGTATGTAAAATAGAAATTTAGAAGAAGAAACCTAACCCCATTAGGAGAGGTAAAGTGGGAGGAATGTACATAAACCAACTACTCATTCGCAGCAGTGTGCTCTTGTTTACAGTAAATTCATGTTACATTAAATACTATATTACATATATTTTATATGGTATTTTATACTAGAAAAGCATGAACAGAAAAGAGCTCTCATCGAAGCAACCATTCTTGGCAAGAAAGGCATTGGCGATAGAGCGATTCAATCGGCACTTTCCCCATCAGAGCAAACTATAGACATCGACTTTCATGCCCAAAGCCCTCACCACAATCATGACTGGAGCTCATTGGGAAGGCAATGCACAGGATCACAGTTTGAGCTCCAAAATTCTCGTTTTTCTCTCCCATTCCCTCCATTCCTACTCGAGTTATTGACGAGAAGAAGTGGGCACTTCCAAATCCATAAATCCTCATGTTGGAGTTTCAAAATTTCATAAATCCTCGTGTAACAACCCAAACTCTCATGATGAAACTATATTCTATTCTGGTTTAATGGCCTCATGGTTTTGTCCCATTGATATAACTTCTCAAGTGGTTACCCATTACTGAGTGTTCAAGCATAAGCACACTTAATATTGGAGTTTTTGATGAAATTTCCAACTATTACACCAAAATAAGCCTCGATGTTTAAGAGCTATTTAAAGAGTTCCATGATCTTCCATGCTTACGTAGCTGAAATCCTCATCAATTTTCTCAACCATTAATCATCCTCTAGATAGATATTCTTATCTTCAAACTAGTGTAATGCTCAAATACCATTTAAGATAGACCGAACTCTCATCTCTTGAGATATTGTTTGTTTTGGCCTAATGACACCACAAATTTACATTAATGTGTAACTTCTCAGGAGTGCTTCCATAATGAGCAGATTTAACATTGAAGTTTATGATGAAATTTCAATCATTACACTAGAAGGGATCTCAATGTTTAAGAGTTCAGCTTCTATGCAATGAGGTTTCACACCACATAACAACATGATTCGCTAAATTCGAGATCCAAGGCAAAATGGAAGAGGAAAGAGATTTAAAATTTTGTGGTATTTAAGGGCTACTTGGCTGTAAGTAGGATTTTGTAAATCCTATAAATTCAAATTTAGTACATTTCGAGGTGTTTAAATCCTGAAAAAAATTTAGCACAATAAATGCTGAATCCCGTTAAACTATGTGAAACAATTTGAAGATTTATTGTAGGATTTTAGCTTATTAGTTGAAATATAAATTTAATATTACATATTAATGACGTAATTATTAAGTCTAATTAATTTGATTTAAAGTTATATTTTTAATTAGTTGAAATATAAATTTAATATTACATATTAATGACGTAATTATTAAGTCTAATTAATTTGATTTAAAGTTATATTTTAGCTTATTAGTTGAAATATAAATTTAATATTACATATTAATGACGTAATTATTAAGTCTAATTAATCTAATTATAAAGTTATAATTTTAATTTGATTTAAAGTTATATTTTTAATTAGTTGAAATATAAATTTAATATTACATATTAATGACGTAATTATTAAGTCTAATTAATCTAATTATAAAGTTATAATTTTAATTTGATTTAAAGTTATATTTTTAATTAGTTGAAATATAAATTTAATATTACATATTAATGACGTAATTATTAAGTCTAATTAATCTAATTATAAAGTTATATTTTTAATTATGATAATAAATAATCAACTAATTATTAAATTAATTAATCATTAATAGGAATCTATTAAAATAATTAATTAATATTTGATTAAATATTTATCAGACTAATTATTAATTAAATTAAAGTTCTTTAAAAAATTAAAAATTTACAATATTCTTATTTTTTAATTAATTTTATAATTGCATAAAGTGTTTATATATTATAATTAGTTAATAATATATTTTTTGATTGTTATTTATTATTAATTATAATTAACTCAAATAAAATTATATTAAATCACAAAACCTACGGGAAGGCAACTGCGGGATCGCGGCTTACAACGATTCCCACCCTATTTCTTTCTTTTTCCGCTCCACTTTTACCCGACAAACCCTCGTCTTTATCTCCCTTCCTCCCACCCATTTTGCGGGCTTCAGCCCCGCTAGATCCCGTAAATCTACCTTCCTCACGGATTCAAGGAAAAACGGGATTTATGATCCTGTAAGATTTAAAAATTTATGATTTTTTGCTGTTCGGCAGGATTTAGGTTAAAGAACCTGGTTATGGCGGCAAATTCATGGCACCATCACGTAAGGGTTCTTTCCGGCACGCTTCTCGTCACGCTCCCTCTCCTCCTTGTCGGTTTTCTCTTCGCCGCCCACTCCTCCAACTTTTCCCCCCTCTCACTTTCTCGCAACCCCTCCTATTTACCCGCCACGCGGCGACGATCGATAATCTGGAGCGCCAGTCGACAGGTGGAATGGCGACCATGTGGCTGGTGGACTGCCAATGCCTCCACCGGTACTCATTCTTATGATTAGGGTTGATTCTATTTCGATCTTTCTAAAGATCTCTTATAATTTCTCAGTATTGTAATTTTACTCCTGAATCCATCCTAACTGCCGTCATTGCAGAAGTTTCCATTCCTTTTTTGTTGAAATGCTGCAGCTCTTTCTGCTAGAAGCAATGGTTACGTTAGAGTCGACTGTTACGGCGGCCTTAATCAGATGAGACGCGATGTAAGTATGTTTTTAATTTCCTCTTCTCTTTGTCTCTCAAATTTTGCATGGATTTGATGTTTGGCACAATTTTAGTTCTGTGATGGAGTTGGGATTGCTCGCCTGCTGAACTGGTTCTGCCCAAGTTTGAGGTCGCAGCTTATTGGAATGAATCAAGGTGTTTGTTTTAAACCTAAGCTGTTTCAGTTCTATTCGGTGAACAGAAGCTTTAATGAGAATTAAATATTATTATTGGGACATTGACATATATACCACCCAATTCATTTGTATTTACATATCTAACTCCTAAACTTTACTTTTTTACATTTATACCATTCAAATTTTTTATATCACATAAAAAATATCATCATTTTATCCTTCTTGTGGATAAGACTAAAGAAAGAGTTCAGAAAAGACTTGAATTATGGAGGTCTACATTGGAGTCTAAGAGCCTTCGTTTGAGTAGATGTAAAATTGAATACATGGAATGTAATTTATTTGTAGTAGCTATAATAACAAAGTTGTAACTATGGGCGAACAAATCATTAAAACGTGTGAACGTTTTAGATATCTCAGGCCTATTGTTCAAAGTGATGGTGATATAGATGGGGATGTTATTAGAGTATATTTTAAGTTGGTTGGTTGAAGTGGGATGTATGCCCAAGTCTTTTTAGGTCTACATCCGCCTTTCTTAATATAAGTTGAATCTAAAACATCTATTATCCTACCCGGATCATCAAATGGTCGACATTTAATGTGACCAAACCATCAAAGACGACTCGTTCATCTTTTCGTCCATTGGTGTTGCACCAACCCTATCACGAATATATTCATTTGGCATTCTGTCTCTAAGTGTCACTCATTAATCCACCTAAGCATTCTCATCTCAGCAACACTTAACTTTGTTTTATGCTTCTCTTTTAAAGGCCAACATTCTGCGCCAAAGAGCATTGCATGTCTCAACACCATCTTATAAAATTTTCTTTTGAAGCCTAACTAGTATTTTTCTATCACACAATAAATTTCACCACCATCTTATAATTTTTTATTGTGGATACGTTTTCGTATAGTTGATCCCACTTAGTGGGATAATGTCTTGTTTGTTGTTGTATAAAATATAATCATTTTAACTTTAAAAAGTGAAATGTACCGTGCATGCATGGATAAAGTGGCATGTGTGTAAAAAATGAAGTTTATGTATTAGATATGTAAATTCATAAGAATTGAGTTGCATGCATGCAAATTTTCTTTATTTATTAGTGGGCCATTTACATACATACCATCCAATTCCTATGTATTTACATATCTAACACCAAAATTTTTCATATATACCACCAAATTCTTCTGCTTTTATATATTTAACGCCTAAAATTTGATTTTTTACACTTTTTCCTCTCTAATCTTTCATATCACATAAAAAAAGCACTACTTTAACCTTTAAAAAGTGGAATACACCTTTTCATGCATATATAAAGTGACATATATGTAAAAATTGAAGTTGTAGGCATTACATAAGAATTCAGTGGTATGCATGTAAATTTTCCTTTTATTTTTTTTTTTTTACATTTATGCCACCAAAATAAAAAGTGTCACTAAAAAGTGAAATGTTCCTTTTCATTTTCGGGTAAAATGGTATGTATGTGAAAATTGAAGTCTAGGTGTTGGATATGTAAATACATAGGAATTGAGCGGTATGTAATCTTACTTTATTATTTTGTTCAGTGGCTTTGAGGATATTTTTGATGTGGACTTCTTCATCCAGCAAACCAAAGGATTTGTAAATGTCGTAAAGGAGGTTCCATATGATGTTGCCTTAAGGGAACCATTCAAAGTGGACTGCAGCAAGCGTAAAGGGAATTTTGACTATGTAGAAGCAGTTCTTCCTGCGCTTAAGGAACATCGTTATATCTCCATCACACCTGCTATGAGCCAAAGAAGAGATAGGTACCATTTTTTTTTTAATTTACACAAAATATCCTTTTTGGTGCTTTCATAAATTTCAACTTGCAAGCATAATCTATTATGGTATCCTTTAGCTAATCCTGTATGCAAAGTTACAAGGTCTTTCATGCAATATCTCTAAATATTATCTTATTTTAGGGAGTTTGAAGTAGTATAACCAAAAATCTATAGGTGATGCAACCTTGGTAAGTAATGAAGTTGAAAAGTATAACCAGGATTCTATATTTTCTTTTTTCATTATCATATTCTTAAATATTTCATATAGTAAATTGATAAGATGTTTTTTGCGGGCTTTGATTCTATTATCTCTATTTTGTTTATTTTTTTTTCTGAAATCATAGAAATAATTATTTTTGGCTTTATTTTGTGATGATCATTAGTAAAGGTTTGGCATTGGTATGTGTTGTAAGGTGTTAAGTGCTCGATTGCTTGTTTCTTTGATACAGTTTTTGTAATTATTTCTTATTGTATACGCAACAATATTAGATGATGAAGGGCTGCAAGTCTATGATAGGGAAGCAAGTATGAGTATTGAAATGCATGAAATAGATAGTAACAAAGATTAGATTAGTCTTATACTATGGAAGTGACTTACTTGAGTTTTTTCTTGTTTGTTTAAACTTAGAAAATAACTTTTGCGTTTTGTGGGTTCTTTGTTTTAGAGAACCCATTTGGCATAGTTTTGCTTTTGTATTTTTGGTAATTTTAATAACATAGAACTTGGAAATGTGCTTTTGCTATGTATTGTAATTTTTAATTGGGATGATTATCTTACGCAATCCCTGTTTTTATCATAATTTCGATAATTAAACTTTTTAGCACTTCACCTTGCTTGGGCTAGTGCCTCAACTGATACCTAATACCTTGGGCATTAGACATTCGACAACATGTTGCCTTAAACCCACTTAGAACCTTTAATGACTCTATATTGAAATATATGTAAAACATTTGGATCACTATATGTTATGGATGAGTATTGAGTGACATCGGTGCCATGATTACGTTGAATGTAGAGAAAGGGATGTTAACTTAAATTTTGCAAATAAAATTCTAATGCAGACTTGTAAAAGAGACCCTAAGGCGGTGTTTGGTAGCATACTTTTAATAGGATTTTAGGATGGATTTAACTTAAATCCAGCCAACCACCATAAATCTGAAGATTAAATCCAATGCCCCGATAAAACAAATTTCCCCTCATTTTGTCTCTGTCCTGACTTAAATCCGGATTTATTAAATCTGATTAAGAGACGGATTTGTTGTGTTGTGACTCGCAAACTCCACCGTCAGACCAGATTTATCAGATTTGTTAAATCCTATTTAATGTAAATCTAAGTTGCAGTCAAACACTGCCTAAATTTTCTTTCCCCGCTCTTAATTTCTTAGAACACTCTTGTATACAACCTGCTCGCTTTGCTCTAATTCTTCATTTCCGAAGTTTTCAATAATTTGCACAATAAACGCCTTCTTAACTGACATTTCTGAATCATGATTACAGAGTTTGTGCATTTAAACTTCAGAATCTTTCTCTGCTCACGTTTGCAGTTAATCTTTACTGTTTTTCCTTATAATAATCGGGCCTCACCTTCTTCTTTTATTTCTGCCTGCAGGTATCCGCTCTATGCCAAGGCTACCTTATGCCAATCCTGCTACAGAGCACTTCGCCTTAACAAAGCCTTGGAAGCTAAATCCATGGAGCTTTTCAACGCCATTCCTAAACCTTTCCTCTCTCTTCATCTCAGATTCGAGCCGGACATGGTTGCTTACAGCCAATGCGAATACTCCGCCTTATCTCCCACCTCTTCCGCCGCCATAAACTCCGCCAGAGGCGACCGAAAACCATGGACCGGCGAAGCCGCCATGAAATGGCGTAACCGCGGAAAGTGCCCTCTAACACCGAATGAAACCGCCTTCATTCTTCGTTCTCTGTCAATTCCCACAAACACAAACATTTATTTAGCAGCTGGTGATGGTCTGATGGAGATCGAAGGCCTCACAAGAACTTACACTAATGTCTATTCCAAATCATATTTTCTAACAGCTGAGGACTTTGGGAAGATGCATGGGAACACGAAAGCAGCGCTGGATTACTATGTTTCGATAAACAGTGATGAATATATAGCCACTTATTTTGGAAATATGGATAAAATGGTTTCGGCGGTGAGAGCTTTGAATGGGAGGCACAGAACTTTGTTTCTGAGTAGAAGAGCTTTTGCCAATTACAGGGAGAAGGGCTTGCAGGGAGAAGGGCTTGCAGGGGCTATGTGGAGAGAACATTTGGATGATTTTGTAACTGGGAGAGGTTTTGCTTTGCCTGATTGCTTTTGTGAGGTTAAGCTGTAGCTCTCTCTGTCTCTCTCTCTCTTCTCATCTCTGAGGAACAAATTTTAAGCTTATTGAATTAAGATAAATTTACATACATACCCACATTTATTTTTTATTCTTGTGTCTAACACGAGCACCTTGGTGTCATAAATGTTATGCATGAGAATGTGTATTTTCCTTACAGAAAAATAGTGATTGTGGTGTTTTTGATGGGCTGTTAAAGATTTGATTGGTATTCATGTAAAATATGAATGTTTAGATGTTTAGTTAGGTGTTGGATATATAAATACATAATTATAGTGGGTTATGTATGTAAACGCTCCTTGAATTAATGATTGTTTGTTTGTTCTTTACTGTTGGGGTCTGGCTAGGGTGATCTTGACCTGTTTTGGCTTTTAAAATCTTATGTTAGAGTTTTGAGAATTACAATCATAGGCATGGTTTAGTAAACCGAATCAAATCAGTCAGTTCACGGTTCGGTTTTGGTTGGCTTAATAACTGCCCATGCATCGAACTGGATTAATCCGGTTCGAACTGGCCTGGAATCAGCAAAAGCTGATCGGCTTAACCTCTAAATAGGCTACAATAATTATTAATGTTTTATTTTAAAGGTGAAAAGCCCTATTGCTGTAACTATCCTATGCTCTCATGTTTTTCAATATAAAAGAAATGTGAAACTCAAAATTTAAAGATGTGGGATTGAACTACAAATGTTTCATTCTTGTATTTGCTTGCACATAATTTTTTATTTTTTTATATTATTATTTTTATATAATTTAGGAAACTGTGAGATACAAATAGCCAAATATTATAACAAGTAAATACAAAAAATAATAAATAAATAAATATATATTTTGGTGTTGTAAATAAATAAATTTATGCATGAAGAGCTGTATTTTATTTAAAAAAAAGGTAATAATAGGGAGTTTTTTTCTTATGTTATTTTAAAGTTTTTAATATTATAAATACAAAAATGAAAGATAAATACGACATGAGAATTTTCTGGTATGTATGTAAATGGCCATTTATACTTTTAGTATGATTTGATGAATATGAGAGATGAGGGGGGCAAATGCACATAAATTTTAAGCTGGTAGTCACCAATTTTAAAATTAAGTATGAGTTGATGATTAGTTTTTGATAATCATTTATCATTAGAATATGATTATTAAACATTATTATCTTTTAGTTTTATTGCTCATTAAGTCATATTATAGTTCATTAATCAATTTGTTATGCTAATTTCTAATCTAATTATTTACTAAAAATATAAAAATTTAATGGGATTTTATAGCATTGTTGCTTAATAATTATTATTTAATTTAAAGCCACTTAAAATATTAACCAAGCATTAGTTAATGGGATTATCAACTAATGATTAATTAGTTAGTAAGTTTTATGATAAAGGAATAATTGATTGGATGAACGAATGAACTGCATATTAACTGTTATGATTAGGGAAATTTACATCCATATCACACGTTTTTTATGTATTTACATATCACACACATTAAAAATTTGATATTTATAATTATAAAAATTTGATCTTATATATTTATGCATGTAATTATATATTTTTCTTTTGGAAATATAGTGATGATAATATTTTTTATGCGGTGTTAAGGCGATAAACATGTAAATAGATAGTAGTTATGTGGTCTCTAAGTAAATGTCCCCTTATGATGCTACAGCAAGGCGATAGATGAGGGCTTCGCGTTCAGCACCAGAAGCCATGGCTTCTATCTTCTCTTCTGCTCTCGTCGGCCCGTTGTCGTATCGGCCACCGGAAAGAAAATCGCAGGCATTTGAACGGCGCTGGTATGGAGGTTCTGCACCTTCAGTTTTACAGGCACAATTTTCCACCTCTATTTGCTGCGCCCGGAATTTATCCAACATCTTCGCCTCCACCCCGAGGTCTCATCTTCGTGCTCGATACGGCTCCAGATCGGTGCGTTGTGAGGCGGCGGGAGAAGGGTCGCCGGGAAGCTTTGATGGAACTGTATACAAGGGCATCTACGGTCCGTGGAGAGTCGAGCCTTCGGACGTCAGAGAGGTTGGTGCATCGTTTTCCCACTTCCGTTAATTCAAGTGTATATGAGTGTTTGTTTCGATACATATTCCCATTTTTTTATCGTTCTATAGATAAAGATAGCGGCTTGGGTGTTATTAGCTCCTGCTAATATTAATTTGATTTTCTGATAGTTGAATTGAGGTTGTCCCTTAATTGCACCCAATGAATGAAGTGTAAATGAGGGAGGGAGGGAGTTTACAGTAACGAATAATGTTCAAAAGTGTCTCTTCTTCATAAAATGTTTCCCTTAGCAGTAGAGGAGATCTCTTCTTCATAAAATGTTTTCCTTGTTTATAGAGGAGATAATATAATGGTGTTATTTTTGTCCCCGTGTGGAAGGAGTTTGTTCTGGGGTATTTATAGTATTTTACAAGTGTAGGCTTATGGTCCGACTGCCTTCTGGCTTGACCAGCTAAGCTTTGTTGACTTCAGGTTGTTGACTTCAGGTCGATAGGATCAGCTCGGTTGATTGAGTTTTTGGGTAAGGTTCAGTCACTTTGTTGACTTCAGTATTTGGGGTCTCCCCGGGATGGTCAGAGATACTTTTCGGAATTGAATCTTCTTTTTGATGGGCTTCATTGCTGGATATATCGCGTAGAGTCGGCTTTCCTGCAATGAATGACTGAGTGTTCTATTGTCTTGTTTTTGGTTGGATCGCTCGTGCTTGGATCACCCCGTCGTCTTCTTGCTTGCATTGTGGCTTGTTCGATTTTGGCCTAGTTGGCTTGGCTTGCATGGATTTGCTCGTTCGGTCAAGTGGGGACGATCTTCTTTTAGAAGAGCTGCCTCCGTTCATACTCCTCTTATGAACTGTTAGATTTTTTTATGATCAGTGCAAACACTTTTTCAATGCACACTGATACTTTTGAGTTATAAATATTTTGAATTTACAGTATTATGTTTATGGTTGTTTCCCTACAAAGAGAATTTAGTAAACCGTTCTCGATTTATAAATCTTGAGAGGAAAAAAGGCTGAAAATTGTATGGCATGGCAACTGCAACATTTTCTTAAAATTTTGATAATTTTTGGACTATTTATTTCAGGATTTAGGATCTGTGTGGGAGAAATTCTAAAATTTGTTGGATTTGGCAAATCCTGTATTTAACTAATAATGATACTGAAAAGTGATTTGTTTAAACAGTAGGATTTGGCTAAAAAAGGAATTATCAAAACAGTAGAATTGATTGAAGTTTCCAAAATTCTGTTTGACATGATTTAAGCTAAATCTTGCGTAGATTTTGCTTAAAATAGGGTACCAAACAACCTATAATGGGGTGAAGAGATCTGTTTTTGTCAAGTTATGAGGAGCCTTAATCAAACACATTATTTGAATATAAAATTACATTGGATTATAAATATGTTTGTTACGCCATCAACAATTTCTTTTATCCGACACAAATCTCGAGGCATGACACAAATCTCAATATAATATTTTGAGCGAGAAACGTTCAAACTTTGATAAAAAGTCAACCAAAACTCTGAGTTGAGCAAATTTACAGTCAAATTGGCTTACTCGACGAGACGGGTCCAATGGTACCAAAATTGGTCCAATCTAAATCAAATTAAGCTCATATCAAGCCATTAAACCACATTTGGAAGCTTCGAGAATATTTGTAAGGCCAAACCAATGTCGAATCCGGTGAGTTCATAGTCAAATTGAACATCTCGACAAGATGAATCCAATGAGCTCAAGTTCACTCAATTTCGACATCGTTAAGACACTTAAATGTTCATCAAACATCATCTGATGTAAGGAAGCCCTCTGAGCCGTTCGATTAAAGAGGTTCATATTCCTGCATTAATTACACTCAAAACTCTATAAATAATGCCCCACCGCTCTCATAAGAAGAGGAGAGCTTGAGGCTTGAGGAAGAGCTTGAAGCTTTGAGAAAGAGTTGAAGTATAGCACCACTTCTGCTATCATCGATCACTACTAACCGTCGTCGACCATCGTAGACCACCGCCGACCGCCGCCGACCGCGTCAACTACCACTCATCGACGTCGCCGATCAGCATCATTCACCATCTGTTCATTTAACAAGTTTATCTGCACATCGATGTTGTAATTTAAAATGTTTTATAACAATTTCCCGCCTGTGAGACAATGGGTCTCTGTACTCATAAACTTATAGTAGATTTTTATAATTGGGTCAAACCTCGTGGTTTTTCTCTTTTTGGGCTTTTCACGTTAAAATTTATGATGTCTCTAATGTTTGTTTTCTTTTATCTGAGTGTGTGATGAATCTTCGTGCAGCGCTAAGCCGATAAATTTTTCTCTACCACTGCGAATGTTCTAGCACACATCAATGTTGATATTTTTGATGATACTAATGCACTTCGGTTTCATGATAACATTATTATTTTAATCAAAACTAGCATTTTAAAACTAAAGTGCCTTTTGAAATCGATAAATTGTGTTTAACAGTTGCAAAGACGTGTTGTTACCTTTTTTTCCCCCTCCTGTTTGGGCTTGCTATACTGACTATTAGGGGAAAGACTGTTAAGTTTATTTTAGCCATGATTTTTTCTTAAATCTAAGATTATTAACATATGTGTTCTATTTCTGTCCTCTTCTCTTTAGAAGGATTGATGAAACATTTTTCAATTTTATGAGCTTTTGACGATTTAAAAAAAGGGAGTGGATTGATGATAACATGAATAGAAGTTGCTGAAAAAGATTTATACAAATTTGGTTTAATCACATTGATATTTTGAGCTGATCAACATCAAGGAAAAATGATTCCCTCATGTTCTTTCTTGTTTTTGGTTTTTTTGTAAGATAATATTGGGAATGTGTACGCATATTATGTTATAGGTGATAAATTCTCTTCATGCTATGTTTGATCAAACAAAGTCTTACTAGGCAACTCAACTTGGTTTTCTTTTTTTTTTTTGTTTAATTTGTCTAAATTTATTTATATGCTTTTTCAGGTGATCTTGTATAGGACAGGGTTGGTAACTGCTGCTACATCATTTGTGCTTGCTGCTGCTGTTACTTTTCTTCCTGAAAATGCTATTTTGGGGGACTTTCTCAAGCAAAATATCGACTTTTTATATATCCTTGGAGCTGGTGGATTAGGCTTATCATTAGTCTTGATTCATATATATGTCACTCCGATTAAACGCTTTCTCCAGGCACTTTGGGTTATTGGTACTTTTGGATCTGCTGCAACATATCTCAATCTGGCTAGTCCATTAGATGAGGGTTTGGTACAATATGTCATAGAAAACCCATCTGCTATATGGTTTGTTGGACCCCTCTTTGCTTCTCTAACTGGTCTTGTTTTCAAAGAAGGTAAAGTTTATTTTTTCCTTAAAATAACACGAACAATTGTTTTTGATTTTTTTTTAATTTCATTGTTACACTCAAATCATTAATATCACAACAAAAGTAGCACTATTACCACTTTTTGAAAGTGAAATACACCTTTTTATGCATAGGTTTGAAACACCATAGAAAGTTTAGGCGTGAGATATGTAAATACGTAAGAATTGTGTGCTATGTATGTAAATTTTCCAATTTTTTATCCATTCTAGCGTTGAATGCTGATGTGATGCGTGCAGGTCTTTGCTATGGAAAGCTGGAAGCTGGTGTACTGACATTCATTATTCCTGCTTTGCTTCTTGGTCATCTGGTACATAATACATTTACATTTAATTTGTTGTGGCGAGATATGTAGGTGTTAATGAAGTTTTTTGGCTTATTTCAATATCAAATTTCAAGTTTGAATTTATTTATTTGGTTTTGATGTAAGTTTTATGATTATTTATCAACCTACTAGGCTATACAACCTTTCAACTTTCTAATCCGGGTTTAGGACTGGAATGGAAGTTGACAAAGTGCCAAATTGAAAAAAAAATTCTTAAATAATTTTGTTAAAACAAATCTTGAAATTTAACACCTCTAGCAATGCTTAGTGGACAGAAATGAAAAATAAGAATTCATAAAGCCAACCTTAAATAATTGGGATATGGTAAATAATGATGATGAGTTTGCAGGCAAGTTTACAAAACATCAAGCTAATTATGAAAAATGAGAATTCATAAAGCCAACGTTAAATAATTGGGATATGGTAAATAATGATGATGAGTTTGCAGGCAAGTTTATAAAACATCAAGCTAATTATACCCTGCAAATTATTTTTTGGTTTATGCATGCTTCGAAGGGTTTTAAAGAAGTTTCAAAATGAGTGACACCAAACCTTACATCTTTTGTGAACTTTTGTGTCATGTTAAAGAAATTAGGCTGTGTTTACCTACAAAACCAAATAATTTCACGGCATTTTTAATAATGGCTTTCCCCTCACTACTATTTTCAATATTCTCTAAAATAAGATCTGTTAGATGCACTACATATGACATTCATTATAATAAAGGCCTCTTACTCCATAAAGCATTTAACCTCAAAGGGAACTCCAAATTTCTTTGATTGCACATAGTCAGCATAAATTAATATAATAGTAGATACATGCCAAATAATAACTGAAGTAGTTATTAATAACTATTTTTTGTTATGTTTCTTGTGCAATCTTCATAATTTGTGCATCAAGAAGTTCAACAAGCTTCATCATAGTCTGGTAATGATGGAATACATTACCAACTCAATTTAACATAATCGACGATGGTCTTTCTTTTACTGATATTTCAATATCTTTTAATATAATATCTATTCAGCACATTGCATATGATATTTCATATATATGAGACATTTTCTCCTTTGTGCCTTAACCTGTAAGAAGCAAATTCAAAATTCTTAGATTACACTTAATTTACATAAATTAAATATTTAAATAAAATACTACAAAAATAATAAAATTCCAAACAATAGTTAGAGTGGTTATCAATAACCATCAGCATAATTTTTTCTTATCCAAACTTCTGAATTGATGGATTGATGAGTTCAAGAAGCTTCATTGCAGTTTTAGAATGTTGGGATTCATGAAACAACTCTATGAACACAATATCAAATTGGAAATAAATAAGAAATTGAATCTCTATTTTCATTGATTCTTTCTTTTTTAATATTCTTTTGTTTTTATGATCGGTATACATACATTTGCCAATGCGCTCTTTCTTCTTTAGGATATTTGTTTTGATATCGATCCCATTATTGCTTTCCATAATATAAAACGAACAATTTGTGTCTATCCTAAATGTATACACATTTAACTATCTATTCCTTCAAAATTGTCCATCAAAATTTATTGATGTTTCATATTCAACTCCCTGTTAATTTTTTCATGCCTTCTTAGTATGCAAAATACTCCTACTTCATCTGTGAAGGAATTTTCACACACTTGCTCGTATTAATTATTTTGAACACTCCAATTGAGCCAATAAAAATGCTCCTTTACTGGATAAAAACTATTCTTAGCCTCTTTTCATGATAAATATATATGTGAGAGAGTAATTGAACCTAATTTTAACTTGATATACTTTGATGCAAAATTCATCCTCTTTGAATTTGTATCTGGCTTGTTAAGACTCCAACAATTTATTTGTAATAAGAGATCAAGTTTAGATGAAATGTTGCTGTTAAAATGGATCAAAATATTTAAAAAAGCATAGGAAGATCATGTTAGGAATGGAGAAGCTTAGAAGGTTATCTTGATAGATAACATAAAATTAACATCAATGCTGCAATGCAAATGCTAAAATGTCACTTTAAAAAATTTCACCTTTTTGAGAGCGCTCATCTTATTAAAAATGACAAAAGATAACACAAAAGAACAATTAGCATTGATTACCTATTCAAACTCTTCTTCTTCAACATCAAACGATAAACATATTTAAAAAAAAAAGGTAACATGAAAAGCTTAACGCCATAAAATTTTGGCTAAACACACTAGAAGTAGGAATATGGTTTAAATCTCACTTCCTCAAATCATGCCTGTGACCAAAGAAGTTTCTTCGCTTGAAAAGATCAATCTTAATAACACTAACTGGTTTAGTTTTCTGATGAGCCTACCGATATCGAAGCATATTACTTTGATCAGTCCATATTGTTGCATATTAATGCATTGTGAACATTATAGCAAAAAAGCCTAAAGAAGTAGGCATTCTAGACCTTATCAGCATTTACTTGTCAAAATTTTGAAGTTTTTGTGCTGGATTTTGCACCAATAATGACTAATGATGATTTTGCACCAATAATGACTAATGATGCTTAGTACCTTGCCTGCAACTAACAAGCATTTCTGTGCTTGGCTTACATTTTCGACAAGCCAAATACCTGAGGACCTAAATCTAGCATCCACTTCCATGAACTTTGCATTGGGTTCTTACTCTCTGGATTAAAAGTGAAAAGTAGAAAATAAACAGAAGATGAAGATGTAATGTGTTTCAATTTGAGTATATTCTTGCCAATGTTATTGTATCATGGTACGAGCGACTAAGGGTGTCATTGAGCCAAGCCGACTCGTGATGCGGCTTGGGCTTGGTTCGATGAGTGGCTCGTTAATTAATCTTCATGAGCTAACAAGCCAAGTTTGAGCCAGCCCTGGCTCAACTCGTTAGCTCGTAAGATGACTCATTTAAAAAATAATTAATATAAAATATATTAAAAATATGTTAAAATTCAAAATTTTATGTTTAACTTACAAAAATGTTTAAAATTGTTTATTATTTATCTCCTAATTACTAATTATATTTGTTATTTTATTATAACACTAGATGGATTTTATATTATTCTCTCTTTTTTATAATAAAAATAAGCCAGCTTCTTGCCTGCTTGAACTCGTACAAGTAAGCTCAAGCTCGGCTCGACTCGTTTACACCCCTATTAATGAACAAGCAGTGGTTTTGAAGTTCATAAGTTGGTCATGTACAGTCATATGTTTTGCTCTATTCAGTGGGTTTCTTGAGATTTCTGAAGGAAAGAATAAATAAGCTTCATTCAAAAGTGCTTTTAGAGATGCCCCATGATTGGGATATTATTTTGTTAACTATCGAAAAACTCAGCTTGTTGATTGAAAATTTGGCAAGGTAATAAGTTCACTTTATATTCTATCCCTTTAAACATGATTATTACCAGAATCATCATCTGGATATATTGTTTAACATTATTTAAACACCAAATAAATGCATTCGCTTTATGAAGCATAGCCCATTAATAATTCAACCTAAAAAAGTTTTTTTTTTTCTTCTTTTTTCTACTTCTAGGAACCGTTATAAGTTGATTCCAAATGTTTTATATTTTCTAGCATTTATTATGTCATCATATATTCTATTGATTAGATACTCATGATGTGCAGACTGGATTGATGGAGAATGGTGTGAAACTGAATTTATTAGGCCTGTGGATGGCTCTCTTTGTAGTGTTTGCAGCAAGAAAGTTTCAGCAACCCATTAAGGTTTTTTTACATTCCAAAAAAAAAAAAAAAAAATCTTCTGACTTTATAGTTTTCTAGAAGGCAACATCCCCCTCATTCTTCCCGCTATGTTTTTTTTTTAAGGATGACATTGGTGACAAATCTGTATTCATCTTCAACGCTTTGCCTGAGGCAGATAAAGAAGTTTTACTCAAGAAACTCCAGCAAAAGGATGATAGCTTAGTTGATTAGTGTGAAACTAGATGATCACGTTTCAGCCGAAGGATGATATGCTGTCGAGGTACGTCGTTTATTGTTCTGCTCGAAATACCAGCATCGAAGAAAGTTATACATGTAAATAGTTAATAGATGCAGTAATTTTCAAGGGGGTGTTTGGTAGCATAGGTTTAGTAGTATTTAGCCATGGATTTAGTGTAAATCCAGTTAAACAATAAAAAATATTGAAAATTAAATCCAATGCTCCATTAAATTGAACTTTTTCTAGTTCTGGCTTTCCTTCTCGCCTTTGGTCTCTTTTACGACGTCGATACGGATTTTTTAAATCTGATTGCGAGGCGGATTTAAGAATTTCTTTGGTCCTGTTGTGAGCGTCATCTTTATCGCATCTCCATCAATAAAATCCAGATTTATTGGGTTTACTAAATCCTATTTAACATAAATACGGGTTGCAGTCAAACGCCCCTAACACTTTTACCAATCAGACTTATTGGCACCAAAGACTAACTTTATCTCCAGCCATGAGTGGACTATTAAAGTAACACTTTTACCAATCAGACTTATTGGCACCAAAGACGAACTGTATCTCCAGCCATGAGTGGACTATTAAAGTCTTTTTAGTATTAGTATGATTGTATTGATGATCAACATTAGTTTTGTAACTTGTTATCATAGTAATAAAGATACTTAACAAAAGATATTCAATATAAGATGCCTACTTCAATTATTTTCTTGTGCTTTGTCTACATACATACCCCACAATTCTCATGCATTTACATATCTACTACCTAAAATATAATATTTATATTTGTAACCCCTTGATATTAAAAACTATGCATGTAAATGTGCATTTTAATTTTTAAAAAGTTAGCGATAATGATATTTTTTTATGTGATGTCAATTATTTGGCTGTTATGCATGTAAATATGAATATTTCAATGTTAGATATGTAAAATATAAGATATGTGTGGTATGCATGTAAATTCCTTTTTTTTTTTTGGTGAGGTGAAATTTAGCTCAATATTTTTATCAATACTGTTTGCAGGTTACAATGTCAGAGCATGAGGCAATTACAAATAAAAATACTATAAGGTCAGTTTGAGATTGAATTTCATGTTGGATATATATATATATATATAGGGGTCATATGTGATAAAATGCGAGCAATGCCATAAGAAGAGTGAACCAAATGTTGAGTTGTGTTTAACTTGTTTTGCCTGCTTTCAAACTGCACTGTATATCTGTAATATATTTAACAGGTAATTTTCTTTTACTTGGTAGAGTCATGTAATTATGTTGTTGTCATCTTTGTTCCAAACTCTGTTATTGATTTTAGGAATAAATGATGTCCTTTTATTTGTGAGGGTCAATATTCAAATTTGGGTCATTCATTGTATCCCTTGAGTTTCCCAACAGCCCCCAAGGGGTTGTAATGTATTTTTGATAATGTAAAATGTAAAGTTTAGATATTAGATGTGTAAATAAGTAGAAATTGGGTTGTATATATGTAAATGCTCCTATAAATAATCATATTTGCATTTGCATGGACTTATAAGACCTAAATAAGCTACAAGGAACACCTCAATGAACTTCTGATCAAATTTTGGTTAAGTTAATATGTTGGAATGTTTGTTTAGTAAATAGTTTTGTCCCTTTCATTTATCATTACAAGACTTTCCCTAGGTGAATGCTGTAATGTGTGAGTTGCATGATAAATTGTTGTAACAATAACAGAGCTTCAAGACATTTAGTATGTGTGTGCCAGAGTTTCAAAGTTCTTTCTTTTTTCTTGTTTGTAAAATGTAATAAATTATTATACTTTTTTTTTAATTTAAAATATAATTTAAATTTATGTTATATATATATATATTGAAAGGATTGCCCAGAGCCTATTATACAATCCTCGAGCCCCCTTACGTGCCTAACAATTCAAGTACCACAACCTTAAGGCTAACTGTGATTCGAAATACCGACATGAGTGGTCTAATACTATGAATGACAACCAACAGTTCGGGTACACGATGAAATATATATATTTTACGTATCTAAAACATTGTGTAATATTTGCACTCAACAATAGTGTAATTAAACTATGCAATTAAATAAGTATTTTACTTCTGACAAGTTAGTAATGATGATAGCTTTGATGTGATGTTAACATTTTAAGTATTGTATGTGTGTGGGTGTGTGTGTGAATAATATTAGAAATTAATGATCAATGATTAGTGTGTGGCTTTAATGAAAGTCTTCTAATTGGAGAGAAAATTATGTGATGTGTGTAGACACCCTAATTATTTTTTTGGGCATTTACACACACCGCGCAATCTTATACATTTACGTGTTTACTACTAAAATTTATTATTTATATGTATATTTCTCACTTGAATTTTAGATATCACATTATAATATTACTATTATTTATTTTTAAAATTGAATATTTTTATTGCATAAATTTATGATACTAAAATGTGATGATGAAAGTTAGAATGTTAGAAAAGTAAAAATAAAAATATGAATTTTGAGGTATAAGTGTAAATTTGACTTTTTTTTTTTTTTTTTTTTTTTTTTAAGGTGGACTTGTGAAGGCAAATGTTCAAAAAGTAAAATAAATTAAGAATTTTTTTTTTCCTCGAATGCTTCCCTCCGCTTCTAGATCCCCGTTGCCATCCAAAACCCTTATCACTCTCCTCCTCCCAATCTTCCGCCATTCATCTACTGCTGCTGCGCTGCCGATGGAAGTCACCGCCTCCGAGGAAACCCTGCGGAGCAACCTGGCCGAGAAGCAGGCAGCCGTGGAGGCCCAAGCGGAGGCCGTCCGTAAGCTCAAGGCGGAGGGTGCCGAGAAACCGGAGATCAACGCGGCCGTCGATGCCCTCAGGGCCCTGAAGGTGGAGTCTTCCGCGGTGGCGAGGTGTCTTCAAACCGTTATCAGCAACAACGGCGGCGGCGGCGCCGGTGATCGCGAAGCGTTCCGGCAAGCGGTTGTGAACACGCTGGAGAGGAGGCTCTTTTATGTTGCTTCTTTCAAGATATACCGTGGGGTAGCCGGCCTTTACGACTACGGCCCTCCTGGGTGCGCCGTCAAGTCTAATGTTCTCGCTTTCTGGCGTCAGGTCAGGGTTTCAGCATCGGTTTAATGGAAGCAAATATGTCTAGCTTTTTGGAGAGATAACGATGATCGAGATGGGATATTTTTTTTTCATCAGCTTTATATGTGTTTTGCACATGATTTTCTTTAATTCTAATTTGAAATTCAAAGCATTCAACATGCCTTGTGAATAATGATTTAGAATTTGGAAATTTGTGTGTTTTGACTTCCTTTTTTGCAGTTAATTAATATATACCCTTGTTTTGTAGCATTTTGTATTGGAGGAGAACATGTTGGAGGTAGATTGTCCCTGTGTTACACCAGAGATAGTTCTGAAGGCATCAGGCCATGTAGAGAAGTTTACGGACCTTATGGTGAAGGATGAGAAGACAGGAACCTGCTATCGGGCTGATCATTTACTCAAGGATTATTGCAAAGACAAACTAGAGAAGGATGTTAGTCTTCCTGCTGAAAAAAATACTGAATTAAAGCATGTTTTGGCTGTGTTGGATGATTTATCTGCAGAGGAACTAGGGGCTAAACTGAAGGAGTATGGCATTGTTGCACCTGATACGAAGAATCTTCTATCTGATCCTTATCCCTTTAATCTCATGTTTCGGACTTCGATTGGCCCGTCTGGCTTGAGCCCTGGGTGAGATTCGTTGCTCACTAAAGATCTGTTTTTATTTTTCTTTTATGGATCTTACTTTGTCACTCATTTCTTGGATACTTTTTTGGTTTTAAATTTTAGATATTTGAGGCCGGAGACTGCACAAGGCATCTTTGTGAACTTCAAGGATTTGTATTATTACAATGGAAACAGACTTCCATTTGCAGCAGCTCAGATTGGCCAAGCTTTTAGAAATGAGGTATCTTTAGAATCACCAGCTTCTATTTTACTTTTTGGTTCAATAATGCAAAATTTATACTTGGCTTTTGCATTTCATGTTATCTTCAAATTTATTAACGCCAATAATAGGAAAAATAAATGTTATTACTAAAAGGCAAATAGGCGGTTACAGGCAAATACACTTGAAAGAGAAATACAACAACAAACACCACTAAAGTATTTCCCAAGGGTGTTGGAGATCGGAATGGCTAAGGGGTGTGGTGGCAGTAAAGGAATACTGGGAGCGGCAAGGGAGAGGTGCGAAAATGCAGGGATAGCAAGTATGGTTGTTATCCTTGATGGTGACAGCTAGCAGTTGGGGTTGGTAGTGGCAGAACAGCAGGAAGGCGGTGATCCCTGGCTGGAAATGGGTGTTCTGCGCGACAGCAATTCAAGAAGGTAAGGGGAATGGCTGAGAGGCTAAAGGCGGCAGGCAAACAACATGGCAAAGGGGTTTTTTGGTGGTGGCAGCAGTACAGGATGGTTGGATAGCGGCAGATGTTGGTGGCTAGTTCTGCTAGGGCAGCGAAGTGGGGGGAGGGAATGACGACGACGACGACGATGGCTGGAACTGCAGAAAATAACAACCAGAATGCTGTCTTGGGTGACTGTAGTAGTGAAGTGCGGCCGGGAGCGGGGTGGAGGAGAACTCGGAAGGAGACAGGGAAGATAACACCGCCTAGGGAGAAAGATATAGCCGGAGCACCCTCGGATACAACCATCGAAGGGAAGAAGAGATGCCGGCGGTCGTCCAGGTACAAAACACGCGAAAAACTAAAAACCTCAAACAAAGGATTCACATTAACATACTTAGAATTGGATCCCCCAATGGAAAGGAGGCGCCAAACCAACATGGGAGAGGTCTAGACGATGAAATTGCGGGATCTGCTTCCGCACCTCTTTAGGCCAGCGTTACTGTAGCAATCTCCCATGTCAGCCTAGATTTGAGAAACGCTTAAACTCACTTCGGAATTCATCAAATAGGAGCACATGTGCTATTTTTGTTTAATTTAGATAGTTGAAAAGGACTTTGGTGCAATTTAATTTAGTTAAAGGTTCTGCTTTGACAATTTTATCATATTTCACTTGTGCTACATACATGTTGCTTGTGCGACTGGATTATATTCTGGAACAAATGAGTATATTGTACTAGGATATATTGAATGAGCACACGTAGTTTTTTAAATCATTTTATTTCTTCATTTATCTAGCAAGTGCTTCATATTACATTTATTTCACAGTATGTGGGTAATTTATCATCTATTAATTAAAGCAAAATCTGGCTGTTTAATAAGTGTAAACAATGCCCTATGAAAGCCGCCGCTTTTCAGTTAAAGACATTCTTTTTTGCCATCCTAATAGTGGAACAAACCATGCCTTAGCTTCTGTAGGGGTGGTATGTAATACTAGGAAGAAAAAATAATCCAAAGGTGCAACTTCCCAGCATTTGTTGTCGTGTACTTTAATAAACTTTTAATACACTTCATTAATATCCTATATCGTAGTCATTTTGCATGTTGATCTAATGAGCAACATGCTATTATCGTAATGGCTGTTCTAAATTAGATGATTCTGTGGTTTCTAAAGCATTTATAATTGTATTTGGTGTAAATTTAGTCTAAATCTGTACCTCTGAGGCTCTAATATCATTTTTTTTTTCTCCTATCTCGTCGCAAGGTTTTTTTTTCTTACTTTGTGTTTGTAATATTTTTGGTGGTAATGAATGCTTATCATAGGATTGAGCTTATCAGAAATATTTATGCAGACTAGAAATTATTTGTAGTTAAAAAGAATCTCTTGTTTTGTGGCAGCTGCACACTCGCACTAAAATATCCTCAACTTTTATCATTTTGTTTGAATACTATTTTCTTCAGAACTAAGCCGTTTATATCACCAGATTTCACCCCGGCAAGGATTGTTAAGAGTTCGTGAGTTCACATTGGCTGAGATTGAGCACTTTGTTGACCCTAAAGACAAATCCCATCCAAAATTTGTCGATGTGGCTGACTTGGAGTTCCTAATGTTTCCTCGAGAGCTACAAATGGCCGGTGAATCGGCAAAACCAGTTGTTCTTGGTGAAGCTGTTAGGAAGGTCTGGTTCTTGTCTTCATTTACATACATACCAGTCCATTTCTATGTATTAACATTCTAACACCTATACTCCAATTTTTACATAACATGCTACCTTACCTGTGCATGAAAATGTGTATTTCATTTTTTAAAGCTTAAATGGTTGTATTTTTTATGTGATATGAAAGATTTAGGTGGTATAAATGTAAAAAGTAAAGTTGTGGTGCTAGATATGTGAATACACAGGGATTAGGTGGTATGTGTAAAGGTGTATTCCTGTTTTGAAATGTTATTTTCTTCTGATGTAGTTTCCTTTTCATTTTATTAGGGAACTGTAAATAATGAAACTCTTGGTTACTTCATTGGGAGAGTTTACCTCTTTCTGACCCATCTGGGCATTGACAAAGAACGCCTTCGATTCCGACAGCATTTGCCGAATGAGATGGCGCACTATGCTGTGGACTGTTGGGATGCGGAGATAGAGTGCTCGTATGGATGGATAGAATGTGTTGGAATTGCAGATAGATCTGCTTATGATTTACGTGCTCATACTGTAGGTTCTAATTTTCTTGGAATGTTCATCCACAGCTTATGGAAGAAGTCTAGATGTCAGTTTGCATTTTTTTTTTCGCATAAAATTGCTCAGATGGCTACAACATTTTAAATATCTGCCTCAAATAACAACTGTAATATCACTTGAACCAGTATTTTAAGCTTTAATCTCCTATGCCTTTTTTTTTGTGGTCTGCATGTAGTGTCTTTTTATTGGCAAAAACCTTTTTTTAATAAACTCTGCTCTTCTTTTTATCTAAATATTTAATCTTTTTGTGAGTTTCTTTATGATTGCTTTGCATTTTATTACCCATCATTTATCCTAAAGTTAGGGAACTATTCTAAATTTGTGCTAAATTTCTTAGTTTTAACAGGAGAAGAGTGGCGTTCCATTGGTTGCTCATGAGAGGTATCCAGAGCCCATAGAGGTGGAGGTCAGTTTTGTTCTACACTGTTTCTTTGACCTTCCTTTCTTTACCTCAGCAAGATATCAGATTTCCCTTTCAAGCAGCTAGAAAAAAAAAACTGATTTTGCCACCCTTATCTTACTTTGAGATTTATTGTTTCATGGCTTAATTATCTTTTAATATTATAAATACAGAAACTGTTGATCACTCCATCAAAGAAAGAATTGGGCATTGCATTTAAAGCAAACCAAAAAATGGTTACTGAGGCACTTGAGGTGAGCGACTGTTACCCTTCTCTTCTTAAACCCATCACCTTTCCGCAATGAAACTCCCCCCGCCCTCTTCCTTCTGGTTAGGCCATGACTGAAGCTGAAGCTTTGGACATGAAAGCTTCTCTGGAATCTAAAGGAGAAACTGAATTCCAAGTCTGCTCTCTGGAAAAATCTGTCATCATTAAGAAAAGCATGGTCTCGATCCACATTGAAAAGAAGAAGGAACACCAAAGGACCTTCACACCTTCGGTTATCGAGCCTTCATTTGGCATCGGGAGAATCATCTACTGCCTATTTGAGCACTGTTTCTACACGAGACCGAGCAAATCAGAGGATGAGCACCTGAATGTTTTCCGCTTCCCACCTCTTGTAGCTCCCATTAAGTGCACTGTTTTCCCACTGGTCAAGAATGAGAAGTTTGATGAAACTGCCAAAATCATTTCAAAATCTTTAACGGCAGCTGGAATTTCTCATATTATTGATGTTACAGGTATGATTTTAAAATTTTCTTAATGGTTCGGTTAAAACTATCAGAATTATTCATTTGAAATTCTCGTAATTTAGAGTACTTTTCTGTTAATACTTCAGCTGAAAACAATTTTCATTTGTGGTAAACTTGAAAAGCTCTTATCTTGCGCTCATGCCCGCTCCATCATTGTGATATTAAAAAGGGTGCATTTACATTCATATCACTCAATTCCTATGCATTTTCATATCTAACACCAACACTTTATTTTTACATTTATACCATCCAAATATTTCATCTCACATAAAAAATACCACCATTTTTACTTTTAAAAGGTGAAATACGTCTTTCTTGCATAGGTAAGATGGCAAATATATATAAATTTTTACTTAAGATGGCAAATATATATAAATTTTTACATTTAAAAGGTGAAATACATCTTTCATGCATAGGTAAGATGGCAAATATATAAAAATTAAAGTTTTGTTGTTAGATATGTAAATATGGTGGAATTAAGTGCTATGTATGTAAATCTTCCTAAAAGAATAAGAATCTCTTCTTGTAAAGCCTCAAGTGGAAACAACTTAGGGGCTGTTTGTTTAGCAGTATTTTGAGTGCATTTCATTTCAAAATTTTTGTCCTTTGATTCAAATAAAGGACAGTAAAATTTTGAAAGATTTGAAATACATCAGAACTTCTGTTTTTCCTATATTCTAAAATTGCCCAACTATACATCTCGTCCTCATTTTAATGCATTTGAAATATGGGGCATTTGTGTATATTGCGCACAACATATAACTGTCATATTTACACACATAGCACTCAAATGTGTATATCACATGAAAAATAGCACTATTTTCTCTTCTTAAAAATGAAATACACATTTTCTTGCATGAGTTTAAAACACCAAAGTGCTATGTATCTAAATATGGAAGTTCATGTGCGAGATATGTAAGTTTGTAAGAATTGTGTGCTACATATATAAATTTCCTATAAAAAAAAATTCAACTCATTTTGATTTGCATTTAAATTCAAACTCCTCGTGCATTTCTAAAATGCATGCATTTCAAGTCATTTTTAATTTTAAAATGCACGTAAGAGCTTCTTTACTTATATTTCAGGTACCTCAATTGGGAAGCGCTATGCGAGGACAGACGAAATAGGCGTGCCCTTTGCTATCACCGTCGACTCAACCAGATCGGTGACGATCCGCGACAGGGATAGCAAGGACCAAATCCGTGTGAGCATTGACGAAGTCGCTTCGGTGGTGAAGGAAGTAACTGATGGGCAGAGCACCTGGGCTGATATCATGTGGAGGTTTCCAACTCATTCTGTATCACAAGCTGATGAGGACTGAAACTTTTCTCCCTACACTATCTTTTTTACGGTTGGGAGGGTTCAGACTGATTATGGGAACTGGTGAAACAAGATAAATCCATTACTTTTCATGGTGAAACAAACATAGGTAATGTTATAATTTATAATGTTATGGCTGAATAGAAGTAATTTTGTTTTGGGTGTTAAGGAAGCTGAGCAACTGAAAAAGGTTATTTTTTATGTACCTTTTAACTCATGTGATGTGTGCAATTTATATTTGGAAGATTTGCATACATACCACTCAATTCTCATGTACTTATATATCTTAACACTTAAACTTCAATTTTTACATATATGCCATCTTACATATGCATGAAAAGATGGATTTCACTTTTAGAAGTTAAAATGGTGGTATTTTAGATGTGATGGGAAATATTTGGGTGATATAAATGTAAAAAGATAAGTTTAGGTGTTAGATATGTAAATACATAAGAATTGGGTGGTATGTATGTAAATTCCCCTTTATGTATGTATTTGTAAGCATGGTTTTAAAAGTCGGTTTAACCAACTGTAACAACCCTTGGTCGTTAAGGCTAGGAACTACATCACAGGTTGTATTCCCTCCATTTTCTAAATAACTCTGCAGCTCTGGAGCACTGTATTAGGTCCAGAACATTCTCAACTTTATTTGACATTTGCACTATTGTAATGAAGGTTCAATGTGAAATTAATATTTTTGATTTGCTGTATTACATTTCATTCCAGTTCTGCTAGTTTCCCTGTTTTCTCTTCCTGCAGGTTCCATTTCTTCCTAATTTGTCCAACTTCTCTCATATAAGGTAATTATAAACATTTTCTACTTCGACCATGGCAGACATTTTTTATGTCTAACATCAAGGTTACAGCAAGCATTCGGCTAACATCTAGAAACTATCCCACCTAGAAATCTCAGCTCTAGAAATTGTTCAAGGCAAATGGCTCCGCAACGTGTCCGCCTACTCGAATCCAAAATACTAATGGACTTCCATTCCGAAGTCCTCAGTTTTTTATTTGGCAACTCATTGATCAAAATCTTTATACCCTGATCTATTCCACTATTTCACTTTCAATTCTGTCATATATCATCAATCTGGTATCTACCACCGAAATATAAAACACTCTAGAAAGGCGGTTTCAATCCACAAACCGGTTCAGGGTTGTCCAACTAAGAAACCATATTTTCATGAGAAATCTTTTGCATCTCAATATCTACTAGAAAGTCTTTAGTAGGTAACATTGTTGTTGCGGGGGTTCATATTGACAATCAAGATATAACCATACACATCCTCACTTGTCTCCGAAGTCCCTATCAATTCTTCAAAATAGCAATTAGACTGTGACTCAAACCAAACAAGCTTGATGAACTCTACTCACTTCCATTGCTCTCTACACCAACTCAACAAGAGGAGGATGCATCACTAACAGAGGCCATGGAAGAACCTCTAGTAGTCAATCACGAAGAGGAGCGGCTCAAGTTAACACCAGCAGGGATTGTAGAACTTCAGGCAACACCACTATCTGTCAAATATGTGGGAAATATGGGCACACTACACTGATATATGTTGGCATAGAACCAACTTTGATTCATACCCCTCTAGCAACCCCAAATAAGATACACCTCATGGCAGCAACCAACCAAAAATCAACTATATTGATTCTGGATGCCGGTTCTACATGACACCTAACTTGTAACATTGAACACCTGCAACGTGCACCTTCGTAGTAGGGAAATTAACAAGTGATAGTAGGAGGTTGGTCTGCTCTTCCTATCGCACGCATTGGGCAGAGAATTATCCTCATTTCTCAACATAAGCTACTTCGTCCTCAGCGCCTACATTCTCCCCGCTTATCCAACATCTTTATCTCGGTACATCTGTTAACTTCAAATAACAAAGGTAGATTTCATTTAATAAATTTGGTTGTCATTAAGGGTCAGAGGACAAACCGCAATCCTCGATGGACCCAATCGGAATGGAGTGTATCCAGTTATTGCACTCTCAATCATTAATCATTCCACATCTCCATCTGAGCCACGACATCGTCGTCTTGGACATCCACACCATAAAACAACAACAACCATATCTTCGAAGAATAGACCTCACAACATTCTTATATCTAGTTTTTTTTTTTTGTAATGAATGTAACTCATCCAAGAGTCACAAATGGCAATTTCTTTTTTTATGTTTTTAGGTCCAAGGAACATTTTGATCTTGTTCACTCAGATGTATGGGGTGAAAGTCAACACTACTTCTTACCTCATCAATCAAAAACTTCCAAGATGTTGTTTTTGTATGAATTTCTACATCACATGTTTACCTTCAATAATTTGTCCATCTTTGAGTGTCTCTAGTTTCCTGGGCAAAGACCTCTAATTTTGCACAAACTCTCACCTTTAGCTCCACCTTGTATATTCATTGAATACTCACCCTCTCATAAAAGGTATGGACGCTAAAATCCTCAAACAAGGAGAATTATCATCTATCAACATTTTATTTTTAATGAAATGTCGATCCCCAAAGAAATACTTGATATTCACACCATCATGACAACAACCTCAAACCTCGGCGGTAAAGCAACTCCACTGAAGACATGCCATGTCAAATGAATTTCAAGCCTTGCAAAAACAGAATACTTGGGCTCTTCTATCTCCTCCTCCCAACAAAAACATGATAGGTTGTAGTTGGATATATTGAACCAAACTTCATCATGATGGATCGATCGATCCCCAATTACAAAGCAAGGTTGATTGCTCGAGGGTTTAAATAGGAAAAAGCCATTGAATAAAATGGAAACCTTCAGTCCAGTGGCTAAACTGACTACAATTAGAGTTCTTCTCACCATATCTCCCCACCACAAGTGACATGCACCATAGTTGGACATTTCAAACACATTATTGCATGCACACCCCTAGATGAAACCATTTGCATGACCCAACCAGAAGGGTTTTAAGATGTCCAACATGTTAATCATACTCTCTCTTCTCCAGCCACCTCAAAACTAAAGGATTCCGACTGAGCACAACATATTCCTCTCTTCTAATCTACCAAAATAACAATATATGTATATATTTACTCGTGTATGTGGACGACACACTACTCACAGGAAATGATGCAACAAACATCTCAACGATCCTGCCAGATCTCAAACCAGCATTTCAACTGAAGTAACTTGGCTTGGTTAGGTATTTCCTCACTCAAACATCTTATATCAAATCTCTACTCTGAAAGTTAGGCATGCTCAACTGCAAATCAGCTCTTAATCCACTTCCTTGCAAGCTCAAATATGATAACTCAAAACTCATTTGCCCTCTCAAAATCGCATAATAATAATAATAAAATAATATTTATCTTCAATAGGATGCAATCTTATAATGCTCTCTCTCTTAATGTCATTCTAATAATTTAGGGGGTTGTGCATGTCAATCACCAAAATTATTAAATTTAATATTTTAACAACCTAAAAATTAAATATAATATTTTAACCACTCAATGCTTTAACTAGGGGTGTCAAAAATTGATACGACAAGTCAACACGACTATAACTTGACTCGAAAAATCCGGATTATGGTTGATCTTAAAATTTTATTAAGTCGGGTTCATGTCAAAAAACAAGACCAGTTTATTATTTGGGTCAGATTGAACCCGAAAACCCAAAACTGACTTGAATAAGCACAAAATTTTGGATAGTATTCGGTTTTGGGGGACAAGCTTGATTCTGGTCTTAATTTTTTACCGTTTAATTATAATCGAGTCTTAATTTTAGCCCCTTTTATTATTCAAGCTGTGTTAACCCGACTTGCTTCTTTGAATTGACACCTAATTTTTATTTAAGAATTTCATGAGTTGGTTTCAAAAGGTGTAATTAAAATATTATATTTAAGTGTTAATTGATTAAAATATTATATTTACTATTTTAAGTAATTGATATGTAAAAATATCATTAATTTAAATATGAACTTTTATTTTCAATAATTACCTATTTTATTCAAATAATCTAAATGTTATATTTAAGTAGGATATTTGTATAAATTATGAGATTAAAAGATTAAAACAATATCATGTAATAGATTTTGAAGGGCTAAAAATAAAAAAAAAATAACTTTTTTCACATAAATTTGATCCTGTAAAAAACAACGCCGTCTGTGGGAATCGAACCCACGACCACATGGTTAAAAGCCATGCGCTCTACCAGCTGAGCTAAGACGGCTTGGCTGTTGTATTAGTGAAAGGATTTAAATATATACTTAAAATAAAAAACATGTTCATTTTTGCTTCATACCGCACGCACCCTTCTCACGTCCAAATTCCATTCGAGTAGGAGAACGACGATTCTGTGCAGGAGGAGAGGAGTTGAAGATGCTTAGAACGGCCGGAAAACGTCTCCCTCCTTTGCCGTGGAGGCCGATCTCTGCCGGAGTCTCCCTCTTCTCTAGGGATCCGATCTTCGGCGCTTCTTCTATGTCGGTCAGTTCTTCCCTGACAACCCGACTCGCCCTCGAATCGTGTATTATAGGACGGATTAGAGGTAAGGGTTATCTGTTTTCCCTCTTTTCTCTTGCATTCCGATTGTTTGTCGAATCGTATAGTTCCCCTAGAGGACTTTTCTACTATCCTCTTGTCGTATGGATACGCTTATGTTGTTGCAATGGCATCAGACATGTCCTGCTAGTTTATTGTTGCATTCTCTTTTGTTTTTTTACCCGGAGATTTGTAGAATACGTTCATTCTGTCCGTGCATTGCTTGAAATTTTTTTATTTGTGTTCTTGAAGATCTGTACCGTTTCAGACTAGTATGATTGTCATCAGTGGTGGAGCCAAAAAATTTTCAAAGTAGGGGCACGAAGTAACTTCTTCAAAAATTCCCTCGATGTGTTTCATTCGGGCTTGGGACAAAGCATTGACAATTTTAACTGAAGCATTTAAACAAGTACGGTATTCAATTGTATCACAATCAAATCGCTTTTGAAAAATAAAATTAATAGGCTGAATTTTTTTCATTTAATCATTTGGTTTGATGAACTCATTATTGAGATTGACATTAAGTGTTTCTCCTTCAGGCCTGGGGTTTTCTCTTTTTGTTGTGCATTCACATAAATATCACACAATCCTTATATTTCTACATATCTAACGCCTAAAGTTTCATATTTTCATTCATATCACTTAATCTTTAACATCACATCAAAAATACTATCACTAACTTTTTTGAAGTAAAATTACATATTTTTATGTATAAGGTACTCAATATATTTTACATTCTTATGTATTTATATTTTCAATTCAAAAATCTTATAATGTTAACCTAAATAAAGTGTACTTAAAATCTAATTTTACAATTAATTAGTATTTTTTATATTATTAACTAAAAACTATTTAAAAACTAATTAACTAAACCAAATAAAAGAAGAAGATTTACATACTTACAGCTCAATTCTCATGTATTTACTTATTTAACACCTAAACTTCAATTTTTGCATGCATGCCATCTTACCCATGAATGAAAAGATGTATATCATTTTTTTTTAAGTTAAAATCGTGGCATTTTTTATGAGATACAAAAGATTTAGGTAGTATGAATGTAAAAAAGTAAAGTTTTGGTATTAGATAGGTAAATATAAAGGAATTGTCTTGTATGTATGTAAATGCCCAAATAAATTCGAATTCCACAACTGAAGCTCCACGGAAACTAATAAAAAATCATTCCAGGTTTTTTTTTTTATTTATTTATTTAGTCCCTCATTGTTGAGGGAACTGCTCTTTATGGTGTTTAAATATAACCTTTCATCAAAGCCTAACGACCTTGAGGGATTGCATGCTGCTAGCATGGCTTGTAGAGGCATGTATATTTGAATTTTTAAGTGCTTTTAAATGTGACTTCTTCAAAGGAAAATGTAGGCAGTTGTAGATTTCACAAAATTTTAGAGGGGGCACCCTCGGGCCCCCTCCCAAATCCTCCCGTGATTGTCATGCAGTGTGGTTTTCATTACTGTGTTTGGAGATGCATAAGTTAAAAGTGGCCATTGTTCATAAAACATAATATCTTCGGTGATCGGAAATAACAGCAACAACAACAACAACAACAAAGCCTTAATCCGTCGGCTACATGAATCGTTTTTCTCCATTGCGTCCTATTTAGTGTCATATTTTCAATTAGTAATAAAATTAATAAAATAAAATAATTCGTTGGTGATCTGTACTATTAGTTGGTGCTGCTTATGTTGCTAATGACTGATGAGGAAGGTAATTTCATAGATGGTCAATCAATTGTTTGTATTGAAATGGGTAGAAGTATAGAACTGACTAAATTTCTTATGTGTTCTTATGTTGTCTCAATTAAATATCTTATTTGCGTAATAAAAATGATGTGGCGTCGAGCATGCTTGTTGACTTATTCCTTAACTTTTTACTCTTAGTATTCACTGTGGATTTCAATTATTTCCGGTGTACTTTGGTAGTGAAATATTCAAGTAGTGCCATTTAGTGATTATTAAATAATTAAGTAAAAATATATCAGGGAAATTCTCCTTTGAATGAGGGGATTATTATTATCTTTAGATGATGTTGAAATATGAGAAGCGCACCTAAAAGCCACTTTGATGTTTAGTGTCATCCAGAGCTCATCATGATTATTGTGTATTGCATCATTTCATGTGGCATGCGATATTTATTTCATGTTTCATGTTTATTCCTAGCATCATACTATGCAACATGTCATATTTATTTGATGTTTCATGTTTATTCATTGCACTGTGTTTCATGTTATTTTGCCTTGTTACTTGGATATTTTATGTATAGTGTACTAGTCTTTAGTTTACATAAAGTGTTCTATATTCTTGCATGAAGAATATTGATGATACTACAATTGAAAACAAAAGCATGGATGATTGATTCATTCTCTCCCTCCTCTCTTCTATTCACTTTATCCTCTCTCTCTCTCTCTCTCTCTCTCTCTCTCAGGGACCTCCCTTTCATAAGCAACCTCCTATCTCTAGCATCTTTCTCCTACCTCTCCTCTATTCACTCTCTAATGTTAATGTCTGCGAGTGCCTCAAAAACTTGATTTCATTGTGATTTTCTTCATCAATTGATACTGAAGTCATATCAATCCATCTTATTGTACCAAAACTAAAATTTCTTCCACATTTTTCTAATTATTGCCTTTACCCTTATTTTTATGCACCCAAACCAACCACACTTCTTCGGTTATGACCCTACTAAATTTATTTTTAGCTTTGTAACCAGGCATCATATCCATAAAAAAGATAATATAGGATTGTGAGTAGTGGCTGTTTGTGAATCTTACCCTCCTACTTGTGATTAAATTGGCTTGCTTGCTTAAAGGATCAAGATTATAAGTTTAGCCTCGGTTATTGTAAATAATATTAATATTGAAAATTAATAATATGATAACCAATCATAAAGTTAAGTTTTGGTGAATAGTTCAGTAAAATTGGTTTAAAAAATCAATTGAAAGTGTACAAATGAGATGGATTAGCTTTGCTAGAAGATAGAGAACTTTAAAAGACTCCATTTTAATCAAATTATTATAAGGTAAAAACATATCTATGCCTATATGTAGTCAAGAAAAAGGATCAATAATGGAAAATACAATAGAGAAATTCTTCATTATGAGGAGTTATCTTAATAATAACAATATAGATTCTTATTGTAAATAATTCAAGCCATGTTGTAGTTTATAAATGATAATACTCTTTTGCAAACTCAATATGGCATAAAAATGTCAACTTTAATTTAACAATACTAGTAATCAGAGTTGAAATTGTTAATTATTTTGTTGTTTGTTGATTAGGAATGTCTTAAAAACCTGTCCGATTCATCAAAGAGAGTAATATGAATCAAACACAAAAAATTGGCTATGAAATTCATGTTAGGGAAGCCATGGATAAGATCTTTGAATGATGATATTAATAAAAGGCATGATTGTGAGTATTTTCAAAGAAAATCAATTGAGTGATTTCACAGGGAGTTTGAATAGAGCATCAATGTAGCGCGTAAAAAGGTTGTCCGCACAATCACCCTTGGATAAATGAAAGGAGCTTTATTGTTTGATGAAGAGTGCAAGTTGTCCGGCAATGAGGACATCAATGAGATGTATGGAGGTGAATGCAAACCTTGATAGCTTAGATACTTTATTAGAAGAAATAGAATTTTAAAGCACTACATCTTATACTTAATTGCTATAATATACTAGCATATATTGCTTATAACTAGGGAAAGAATTAAATGAAGTACAATAAAGCAAAATGTTCTCAATAAAAAAATGTATTATCATAATAAATAGTGATTATTCCTATTATAAATTATTGATGCCATTTGATAATTAACTTAGTTGCCTTCTTCATTTTCTTTTCCCTTTGGATCTGTTGACTTGTCTCTTTAATTGAACTAAGTCTTCTTCCTTCCGTGCTTGTTTTGGTGTAGAGAGAATGCAGACAAAGAGGGTAGCAGACAAAAGAGGTAGATGACATTTAATAATAGAGAAATAGTCTTGGTCGATTTTAGGAGGGTATAGACTTTACTTATGCCAACTAAAACTAGAAAGAGCTGGAGTGGAACTCTTTTGGATTCTCTTAATTGGATGAATGCAATGTCTCAAATACAATTTATATGATAATTTTTTATCTAAAATGAATAAAAATAATCAGGATTGATTGTAGATAACAGCCTTGAAGTCTGGGCATCTCATTGAAAATTGGATATAATCCTCCCTATACAAATTCTAGAAGGATTTGCATTATGCATTATGTATTATTTTTATGAAGATTGCTCTCTTATCCTCCTTTGGCCTACCTCCATTTGTGCTTTGGGATTTGAATTTTCTATTGCTTCAATTTTTCTTTATCTTCTTGCCTTATCCTTTGATATAGCCTTGGGGGTCTTCTATTTGTTCCTCTTTTGTACTTTTTTATGTATCGATGTAGCTTTCCATGCATAAAATAAATCATGCTTCTTCTTTTGCTTGGATCCTCTTGTATCATGGATACCCTTTTAGAAGTAATTTTGTCGTACAAATTGTTGGATAAGTGAGCCCTCTTTTACCTCTGGTATGTCGCTTGGGAGTGCTTTCTTTTGCCGAGTTGCTTCTTCTTTTGGGCTTATTTTGGTTGACATTTGGGTTTCTTCTTTTGCTTCCTTGAACAGATTATTTTGGCTTGTTCATTTCTTCCTTTTGTTATGGAGTTATGAGAAGGTTGAAGGCTGTTGTAGATGGATAGCCAAAGAGGGATTGTAACTATTGCTGATGGTTGCCGTTCTCTCCATGTGTTGTGTTCATGTGAAATACAAAATTCATCAAAATCATATTTCTCTTCTCACCAATAGTAAACATTTAAATCCTATTAAGGATTTCTTAGGACTATATGACCAACATTGAGGGGAATTACATCACAATTTACGACATCGTATGTTGTACATGCAAATCTTATTTTACCTCAGTGGCATTAAACTATCTTGGTCTACCCTAAATCATAAGAATTTAGGCGCGAAGTGTTATCTAAGCCTAATTTA